AGTACTTTACTGGAGAATTCGGGGACTGGATTTCAGTATCGGAGAGAAGGTACACGAGTGTCCCACCTTCTGTACATGGACTTGAAACTCCTAGCTCCGAGTGTCGAACGCCTGACGGAGCTGTTAAATATTGTAAACGATTGTAGCAGCTCTGTTAGGATGGCACTCGGAATAGACAAGTGCGCGGTTCTCCATGTGCAGAGGGGACGGGTCAATCAAACTGAAGGGATCGTTACAGATCCCTCCAACATCAAAACCCTCTCCGAGGCTGAAACATACCGGTATCTGGGCATGTCACAAAACATCGGTATGAGGGAGACGGATATGAAACAGTCAGTCCGTGAGGAATTTTTTGCGCGCCTTACAAGAGTACTGAAAAGTTCCTTGTCGGGTGCCAATAAGATCCGAGCATATAACGGCTGGGTCATACCCGTATTCCTTTACACTTTTGGCGTGCTCAGATGGTCTCAAACCGAACTCGAAGCACTGTCCGCACAACTATGACCCTCCATAGAATGCATCACCCAAAATCGTCAGTCATGAAGCTGTAGATCCCGAGGAAGGCTGGTGGTCGAGGCTTGTTAAGCGTTAAGACCATGCATAACCGCGAGATTGACAGCCTCAGGACATATTTTCGGGAGAAAAGAGACGAGGGTTTGCATAGAGAGGTCATAGAATGTGACAAAGGATTCACCCCTCTTTCTCTGGCTAAAGAGGACTGGCGAAAACTCGAAGTCCTGGGTACCTCTCAGCGGGAGGCCGTATGGAAAGAGAAGGAGTTGCACGGAAGGTTCTTCAAAGCCCTCCACGGGCCATACGTCAACACGAAGACCTCCGTGCACTGGCTACAGTTCGGTGATCTCTTCGGAGAGACCGAGGGTTTTGTCTGTGCAATACAGGATCAGGTGGTTAAGACGAACAATTACCGAAAGCACATTCTGAAGGATGGCACTGAGGACATCTGTCGGGCATGTCGCCATCCCGGTGAGTCACTCAGACATGTGCTTTCGGTTTGTTCAGCTCTTGCCAATATTGAGTACTTGCACAGACACAACCAGGTAGCCAAAATACTCCATCAAGAACTTGCTCTGAAGTACGGCCTCGCGAATGAGAGGTTGCCGTACTATAAGTACGAGCCCCATCCGGTCCTCGAAAGCGACAGCGTCAGGCTCTACTGGGACCGATGCATCATCACGGACAGGACCGTTCTTGCGAACAAACCTAATATCGTGGTGATGGATCGGGCACTCTCGAGGGCGCTTTTGGTGGACATCACCATACCGCATGACGAGAACCTCGTGAAAGCCGAAACTGAGAAAAAGATAAAATACCTCGACCTGGCTCACGAGGTGACCGAATTGTGGGGGGTGGTGTCCACCGAAATCATTCCATGAGATTTTTTTTTTTTAATATATATAACAAAATAATGGAGAAAACTAGCAAAAGCTGAGAAAAAATAAAAAAATAATAATAATCTCAGGACAATTCACACAGCGCCATCTAGACCCAAGTTAAGCTAGCTAAAGCTTGTGTTACGGGTACTAGATAACTGATACAAGTACATAGATTTTTTTTTTCGTAAATACATACATATTATATTACACATAGAAAACACCCAGACCGATACAAACCGATGCCGTGCGAGAAATCGAACCCGCGACCATCGGACGTAAAGCGGTGTGCCGAGGTCGTCAAAGTCAATAATACAAGCTTTGTTTAGGTTGTGACTAGATGGCGTTCTGTGAATTGTCGAGAGGTTTTACAATTATAATATTAAGAAATTTAATGGGTCATTCAATATAAAGTACATACAATGAACAAAAGAAATAATTTGCAATATAATGATTAATAACGACCGAATGACCCCGTTTCCTCTGTAAATACAAAAGTGATAATTCAACAACAAACAACTCGTTTGTTTGCAAATACGTCTGTCCATGTATTATAATTTCATGTTACGATACAAACATTAACTACAACTATTAACGTATTAATTAATAAGGTAAGAAGCCTGAAAATTAAAATCCGAATTTTAGAATTCAAAATGTGTATATTACATTATAAATGAAAACATAGACCGATACAAACAATCATACTCATGAATACAAATGTTATGACCGTGCGAGGAATCGAACCCACGACCATCGGCCGCAAAGCGGTGTACTAGACCGCTAGACATCGAGGTCGTCCTATCCTGGATTTTCCAACTTCAAATCCTAGTTTTTTAAATTTGGTGTTGGCAATCCTAACATACATACACATACATAGGCTACGGTAACCGTTTACTATCAGATGGGCCGTATGCTTGTTTGCCACCTAAGTGGTATAAAAAAAACATACGTAACATACGTTATGTAAAAAAGCCTATTATAAAATAGATGAATTTATAGATGATAGCAATATATAGCAAGAATAAGTTTATTTGCGGACAACGTTATAATTTTAATTGTCATACTGCTTTCTTGATATATGATAGCGTAGCGGCTTTTGTATTGATTGCCGCATGCATCCTCATGTAAAGTGCGAATACTGTAACTATCATATAGTAATTTTTGTAGCTGTGACGTGGTCGTGTGGAATGAGTAGTCATGCTCACTAAAATGTCCAGACATGTGGCGGCGTGGTGGGCCGGGTCATTGGGCTCCCTAAAATATGGTCGAGCGCAGTGATGGCTGGCTCATCCGTCATACTCGTGAAACGAGTGCTGCTTGTAGGAACTGGTCTGCTCTTATCACTACGACTGATTTAATCTTATTGCATATTTATATTTGACCCAAAAATTAGTGCTTGTTGGTAGTTTGTATTCACACGTTTCGACTTGTAAATGTAAACTTACAAGGATTATTTAAAAGAGCAACACACAAGTTTCTTGCTCGTTCTTCTTGTGATGAGACAGCTTTCCGAACGAGTGGTAGATAAAAAACAAATTGTTATGACTATTCAAAAGTGCTTAAATTAAGTTTATTTGAATAAATGATTTTCTATTCTATTCTATTCTATACATATACATACATAGTAGTCGGGTAAAACTATAATCATGTATATGTATTAGGTTGCTGTTTTTTACGCTTCAGAGTCAATATGATCATAAATCAAACTTGGGTATTATATTAATGAGATAAAATCCAACTGGCAGTGCATAGTCGCCGGTGACTAATACGAATTGACTCATTTCAGATAACTGCCGGGCAAACTGGAAATTACCCATCAACAAAAAATTTTAGTGTCACCAGCAGTCCCGACCACGCGTTGATGTGGCTATGATCCTTGAAAACCATAATATTGCGACTATAAATTGAGATGTAAGCTATCCTATCTTTCAAGTTGGATCAAATTGCCATACAATGTGTAAATCGAATTTGCAATCTGTTCAGTAGTATAGGAGTCCATCGCGGACAAACAACGTGACACGTAATTTTTATATGTAAGGATATATCATAAAACAAACAGCTATTTACAATATTTAGCTAAAAAAATGTTGGTTCATACTGTAAAAATTATTATTTGTACGGAAACGACTAAAATGTATTTTTATGCTGTACTAGCTTTTGGCCGCGGCTTCGCTCGCGTTAGTTTATCCAATTAGGGGTGGAATTTATCAAAATCCTTTCTTAGGGGATGCATACGTCATAACATCTACCTCAAAATCCGTCCGGTGGTTTGGGCTGTGCGTTGATAGATCACTATGTCAGTCACCTTTGAGTTATATATATTTAGATAATACGACAGTCATGGAAACACTAGTCACATGCGCAAAGTCTCAGCCCGATAGGTTTAAAATTGACAAACTTTCATCCCCTATTTTATTCCCTTGGGGGTAGAATTAATCAAAATCCTTTCTTAGCGGATTCCTACGTCATAACATCTACCTGCATGCCAAATTTCAGCCCGATCCGTCCGGTGGTTTGGGCTGTGCGTTGATAGATCACTATGTCAGTCACCTTTGAGTTATATATATTTAGATAATACGACAGTCATGGAAACACTAGTATATGTATGTAAATTTTGAAAATCTGTTGTGGAAACGTCCCTTAAAGTTTTAAAACATTAGTTTCAAACATATTAATGTTAAAATAAAAGTTTCCGATTAAATAAATCGGTATCGCAGGTACACCACTACTCCGCTGTAGGTGGTAATATTATTTGAAAATTTGACATTTACACTTCTCAGTTTACTCTCCGGGATAAAAAAACAGACTATACTGTATCTTAATAATATTCTAAACGCGAAAGTTTGTAAGTATGGATGTTTGTTACTCATTCACGCAAAAATTACTGAACGGATTTTGATGAAACTTTACAGTAATATAGCTTATGCATCAGAATAACACATAGGCTATATTTTATATTGAAATTTAACGGTTGAAACCGCGAGCACAGCTAGTATATAATATCGGCCAACATTGTTATATAATAATACTAGTTGTACCTGCGACTTCGTCCGCATGGAATTTAACTTTATTTTTCTAAAATAAAAGTAACCTAAATTACTCCTTATTACATATTCCAATAAAAATACCGTCAAAATCGTTTCAGAGATAAAACAAACAGACAGACAGACAAAAATTTTAAAAAGTGGTTTTTGGTGTAGTTTCCGCACTTTTAATCATATGCATGTAGTAAAAATGGTTATTTCAATATTACAGACACTCCAATTTTATATACATATATGTATAGATTGTTTGCAGTTCGAAGTTAAAGCATATGTAAATATATGGTTTTAGAGCTACTCACACAACTTACTAATTTACAATCATTTTTACCTTGTTTACCCGGGTAAATAGTTTACCCGGGTAAGCAGTTTACCCGGGTACATAGTTTACCCGGGTAAGTAGTTTACCCGGGCAAATAGTTTACCCGTGATCATGGCCGTTGAAACACAGCCAAAATATCGGGAACTCAACAAAAAAAAAACGTGGTAAGATCCCGTGATTTACTAATTATACTTATAAATATCCTGTACCTTTGTACTTCCATAAAAAAAAAAAAAAATTACTCACGTCATAGAACCATCCGAATTTGTCGTACGGTATTTCACGTGGCAGGAACGGTATGTGACTTGCAACAGTCAGCAATGGGTCGTCGATGCCGTCGAACAGCCAGGAGCTGGCGTTGGCCGTCACAAACATATTCTCGTGGATAAGTCTCAGGAACACATCTGCCACCGTCTTCTCAAAGACACTGTTGTACCGTAGATCGTACGCCACGGTCTGTGTTTAATCGTTATTGCATTCATTAATAACTAGCTATTCCCGCGACTACGTCCGCGTGGAATTTAACTTCCTTTTTTCTAAAATAAAAGTAGCCTAAGTTACCCCTTATTACATTAGCTACCTACCAATAAAAGTACCGTCAAAATCGGTCCAGTCGTTTCAGAGATTAGCCGGAACAAACAGACAGACAAAAATTGTAAATGTTCGTCCGCGTGGAATTTAACTTCATTTTTTCTAAAATAAAAGTAGCCTAACTTACCCCTTATTACATTAGCTACCTGCCAATAAAAGTACCGTCTAAATCAGTCCACCAATTTCAGAGATTAGCCGGAACAAACAGACAGACAAAAATTGTAAATGTTCGTCCGCGTGGAATTTAACTTCATTTTTTCTAAAATAAAAGTAGCCTAACTTACCCCTTATTACATTAGCTATTTTTTTCTAAAAAACAACAGACAAAAATTGTAAATGTTCGTCCGCGTGGAATTTAACTTCCTTTTTTCTAAAATAAAAGTAGCCTAAGTTACCCCTTATTACATTAGCTACCTACCAATAAAAGTACCGTCAAACACAGTCCACAAATTTCAGAGATTAGCCGGAACAAACAGACAGACAAAAATTGTAAATGTTCGTCCGCGTGGAATTTAACTTCCTTTTTTCTAAAATAAAAGTAGCCTAACTTACCCCTTATTACATTAGCTACCTGCCAATAAAAGTACCGTCAAATCGGTCCAGCTATTTCAGAGATTAGCCGGAACAAACAGACAGACAAAAATTGTAAATGTTCGTCCGCGTGGAATTTAACTTTTCTAAAATAAAAGTTGCCTAAGATACTCCTTATTACATTAGCTACCTGCCAATAAAAGTCCCGTCGAAATCGGTACAACCATTTCAGAAATTAGCTGGAACAAACAAACAGACAGACAAAAATTGAAAATGTTCGTCCGCGTGGAATTTAACTTCATTTTTTCTAAAATAAAAGTAGCCTAACTTACCCCTTATTACATTAGCTACCTGCCAATAAAAGTACCGTCTAAATCAGTCCACCAATTTCAGAGATTAGCCGGAACAAACAGACAGACAAAAATTGTAAATGTTCGTCCGCGTGGAATTTAACTTCATTTTTTTAAATAAAAGTAGCCTAACTTAGCTAGCCAATAAAAGTACCGTCAAAATCAGTCCACCAATTTCATTACAACAAACAGACAGACAAAAATTGTAAATGTTCGTCCGCGTGGAATTTAACTTCATTTTTTCTAAAATAAAAGTAGCCTAACTTAATTACATTAGCTACCTACCAATAAAAGTACCGTCAAACACAGTCCACAAATTTCAGAGATTAGCCGGAACAAACAGACAGACAAAAATTGTAAATGTTCGTCCGCGTGGAATTTAACTTCCTTTTTTCTAAAATAAAAGTAGCCTAACTTACCCCTTATTACATTAGCTACCTGCCAATAAAAGTACCGTCTAAATCAGTCCACCAATTTCAGAGATTAGCCGGAACAAACAGACAGACAAAAATTGTAAATGTTCGTCCGCGTGGAATTTAACTTCATTTTTTCTAAAATAAAAGTAGCTAAACCCCTTATTAATTAGTAGCCTAAAAGTACTTAAATCCCACCAATTTCAGAGATTATTACATTAGCTACCTGCCAATAAAAGTACCGTCAAACACAGTCCACAAATTTCAGAGATTAGCCGGAACAAACAGACAGACAAAAATTGTAAATGTTCGTCCGCGTGGAATTTAACTTCATTTTTTCTAAAATAAAAGTAGCCTAACTTACCCCTTATTACATTAGCTACCTGCCAATAAAAGTACCGTCTAAATCAGTCCACCAATTTCAGAGATTAGCCGGAACAAACAGACAGACAAAAATTGTAAATGTTCGTCCTAGTGGAATTTAACTTCCTTTTTTCTAAAATAAAAGTAGCCTAAGTTACCCCTTATTACATTAGCTACCTACCAATAAAAGTACCGTCAAACACAGTCCACAAATTTCAGAGATTAGCCGGAACAAACAGACAGACAAAAATTGTAAATGTTCGTCCGCGTGGAATTTTAACTTCATTTTTTCTAAAATAAAAGTAGCCTAACTTACCCCTTATTACATTAGTACCTGCCAATAAAAGTAACGTCAAAATCAGTCCACCAATTTCAGAGATTAGCCGGAACAAACAGACAGACAAAAATTGTAAATGTTCGTCCGCGTGGAATTTAACTTCCTTTTTTCTAAAATAAAAGTAGCCTAACTTACCCCTTATTACATTAGCTACCTGCCAATAAAAGTACCGTCAAAATCAGTCCACCAATTTCAGAGATTAGCCGGAACAAACAGACAGACAAAAATTGTAAATGTTATTTCGGTGTATGTACCGTACTTATATTCATATGCATGTAGTAGAAAACGGTTATTTCAGTATTACAAACAGACACTCCAATTTTATTTATATGTATAGATGTACACCCGTGCGATGCCGGGGTGGATAGCTAGTATGAAATAATCCGTGTTTGAAGTCGAGCTTCTTGTATTCAGTGCTGAGGATATGTTGTAGTAATCGATTTATTATTTGTCTGAATATCTAAATATGTATAACTCAAAGGTGACTGACATAGTGATCTATCAACGTACAGCCCAATCCAATCTTATTTATATGTATAATTGTTTGCAGTTCGAAGTTAAAACATATGTAAATATATCGTTTTTTAAAAACTTCATTCGCTTCACCACAATTATAATTGAAACTAACTTTTGCCCGCAGCTACGCTCGCGTTAATTTATAGCCTTAGGGGTGGAATTTATCAAAATATTTTCTTAGGGTGTGCCTATGTTATAGTAGCTTTATGCATGCAAAGTCTCAGCCGGATCGGTTTCACCCCCTATTTCATCCCCTTGGGGGTAGAATTAATCAAGATCCATTCTTAGCGGATGCCTACGTCGTAACATGTACCTGCATGCCAAATTTCAGCCCGATCTGGCTAGTGGTTTGGGCTGTGCGTTGATAGATCACTATGTCAGTCACATTTGAGTTATATATATTTAGATTAAAATAAATGCGGTACTTGTTTTTTATTAAATTTATAGATGGTTTATTTCTATCTTCCCGCCACTTAGCATTCATTACTGAAAAAACTCTTTCAGTAAATGCTGAGGTATTGACGCTGAAAACTGTATTTTGTATACTTTATTTTTGTTCAACAGTAAAAATTCAAAAATCATTTATTCATGTAGGACATTTTAGCCGCTTATGAACGTAAATTTTTTTATATTTTTCTTATATTTTTTCCATACCACCCAGTTCAGTATACAGATCCAATTGAGAAGAACTGGCAAGAAACTCAATTGAATATTTTTTTTAAAAGCCGGTTTATGTACAATATGTATAATTATATAGATACTGATGTCATCATCATCTGCTTCTTCCTTATCCCATTTATTTGTGGTCACCGTAGTATATTTTTCTCTTCCATTCATCCCTGTTCGCAGTCATCTCGTTATTTACTTCCTTTCTTACCATATCATCTTTCACACAGTCCATCCATCTCTTTTTCGGTCTTCCTCTGCCCTTATAACCATCCACATTCATATGTAACACCTTCCTTAGGATATGATCTTCATTCCTACGTCTATAGGTGTCTATGTCTAACACTAAATTAAAAACTGCCTAAAACAGAATAGTTGGTAACCCTAAGTATAAGTTTTAACTTGTTTTGTGAATATTTGTTAAGTTGGGCTAAAAAGGACTTGTATCCAGAGCCGTAAACATATTAATAAGAAAAAGTTAAATGATAACATACCACAACTATTGGGTTGACATTGGTGATGTTGTCGGAGAGGCTGCCATTGGACATGTCCGGTTGGAAGTGCCACCACCTCTGGTTGAAGTATGTCAGCGTGTCATTATGGTTGTTCCACGTTAAATTGGCCTGTAATCATAAAAGGTATTAGTCTGGATACTTTGATCTGATTTAATTAAAATTTTACTAAAGTCTGATTTTATTTTGTTCTATTTTTCTTTATAGGGAAAGACACAAAGCAAAGAGTCTAATCCCATACAGCCGTTAGTCTGTTTTTTAATCCCGGAGATTAAATTGACAGGTTTAAATGTAAAATTTTGAAAGAATGTTACCACCTGTAGCGGGAAAGTGGTGTACCTGCGATACCGATTTGTTTAATTGGAAACTTTTATTTAAATATAATAGTAAATTGTGTTATGTTCGCAAGTATAGTGCAATAGGACACCTAAAGTTTTTATAGTCATTACTGTAATACAATTTATTCAATATCATTTCAGATAAATAAAAAAGTGCATAATCAAAGTCAAGATTATTTAAACAAAAGACACTTTGAGCCACCACTATAGTTGTGAACAACTAGTTTATTGTTTTCATTATAAGTTTGTATTGTATTATTACTTTTTTAATATTTTTTTGTAAATTCGCATTTTCTTAAAACTTATAGTTTTTATTACTCCACTAAATAATTATGTAAAAAATTTTGACACTCATTGCATTAGTGTCTATTGTAAATATACGTATATTTGTACATTTATTATAAATGCGAAAGTAACTCTGTCTGTCTTTCTCGCTTTCACGCCTAAACCACTGAACCGATTTAAATGAAATTTTGTTCACAGATAGTCTAGACCCTGACAAAGGACATAGGCTACTAGGCTAATGTGAAAAAAGGGTTGCAAGGAGTTGAAAGAGAATATGAAAGGTTCTATGGAAGTATCGTCATTGAGAAAAAAGATTGAAACTCATCTGGTAATTTCGTTATCATGTTATTCTTCTTAATGAATTCCAAGCTTACCTTGGTATGTGTTTCTCTATAGACATAAGGCCCGAACTGCACCAGATGAGGTTTCACGTTCCTGTCTGCCAGGATCTCGTTCACATTACTTATGTTAAATAAGAAACACTCCAGGTACATGGGTATAGGCGGTTCGCGCCACATTTCGAAGGACATCGATTCATTTGTGACTATCATCATCTGAAACAAAAGATACATTATTAGAAATATTTTTTCTTTCGAACTATTCTAATGCTGTAGGCTGAATCTTTACAGCTTCAAATTCAAATTCAAATTCAAAAATCATTTATTCATGTAGGACATTTTAGCCGTTTATGAACGTCAAGTTTTTATATTATAATTCTTTTTCCCTACCGTCCAGTTCGGTATATAGATCCAATTGAGAAGAACTGGCAAGAAACTCAATTGAATTACTTTTTTTTTAAATCCAGTTTATTTACAATGCTTAGGTATTTATATAGGTGTCTATGTCTAACATTAAATGAAAATCCCGAACATGAAAACTATTGCCATGCACGCTCGTCATTCAAGTAATCGTTTAGTGAGTAATAGGCCTTGCTTCACCGAACGACTGCAGATGGCACTTGGAGATTCAGCAGCTCCAATGATTATATTATAAATACTTAAATGGCTGATTCTTTACAAGAATATAAATTATGTATAACTTTGCCACCGTACTATGCACAAGTGGCGGTCGGCCCTGGTATTGTCGGTGTACTCCGGAATAGAATAGAATAGAATAGAAAATCATTTATTCAAATAAACTTACATTGAAGCACTTTTGAATAGTCATAACATTTTTTTAATCTACCGCTCATTCGGAATGCTGTCTCATCACAAGAAGAACAAGCAAGAAACTTGTGTGTTGCTCTTTTAAATAATTTATTCTTACTTACAATTTAAGTTTAAGTGTGTGAATACAAACCACTAATTCAATGAAATAATAAAATAGAAAAACCAGCCGTCGACCGTCCGGACGTCCGGACGTCCGAACGGTCCGGACGTCCGGACGGTCGACGGCTGGTTGCGCTGCAGCATCAATAGAGTACGGTGTAATGAACTGCACTTAACATCCTAATGCTGTTGACAGCAACTGGCCTTTACAGCTTCACCGAACAATAGGGAGCCAGTGCAGATGGCACTCCAAACCCGCGAAAGACTATGAAAGAGAAAGAAAGAAAAGAAAGAAAGGAAATGAAGCGGCTGAAGGCCAACTCCTTTCTTTTCGGATATGACTTTAGTCTAAGGGGTTCTAATTTCGATTAATTAGACTTTCCGGCTTTATTTAAACCGCGATGATGGAATGGTGCCCCCGCTAACGGTATGCGCCGGCGGGACACCAGAGGATGATAAAATGAGGAGCATGAAATCAGCTCAGTTAGATTACCGTGACGTATTCACCAGAAATTTATCAAATTCAAACTCTATTACAAACTGTTATGATATGTCAAGTCTACTGTGAGTTCGGAATGATTTCGAGATCAGAATAATTGACAACTATTACATAAATTAAGTTTATTTGAATAAATTATTTTCTATTCTATTCTATTCTATTCTTAATAGAATAGAATAGAAAATCATTTATTCAAATAAACTTACATTAAAGCACTTTTGAATAGTCATCACATTTTTTTTAATCTACCGCTCATTCGGAAAGCTGTCTCATCACAAGAAGAACAAGAAAGAAACTTATGTGTTGTTCTTTTAAATAATTTTATTCTTACTTTACAATAGATATACAAATATAAAGATAGAAATAATCTTTATTCAAATACTAGCTACTCGCCCCGGTGTACATGTATGTATTATATATATAAAACTGCCTCTTGAATCTATCTATTTAAAAAAACCGCTTCAGAATCCGTTGCGTAGTTTTAAAGATGTAAGCATACATTGGGACGGACAGACAGCGAGAGCGATTTTGTTTTATACTATGTAAATAATGATAATGATGAAACTCCACAAGCACTTTTGAATGGACATCTTTTTTTATTCTACCACACATTCGGAACTCATCTCATCGCAAGACGAACGAACAAAAAATTTGTCTCTCTTGAATAAATACATAAGTGACAAGAGGCATACGATAATCAACATAGAAACCGCACAACACTAATATTCTTAGTGCAATCAGATAATATTGTCAACGTATATTAATTTTAAGTTTTTTCTACAAAAACAATATTATCATTATTTAAGGTATTTATATTATTTTGTTTAATTCTGCTACAATTAGCATGTGTGAGATCACAAGTAGTCTGTTCGGAACTTGACTACCGTTACATTAGCATGTGTGAATCACAAGTAGTCTGTTCGGAAACTTGACTAACGTTTCCGAACAGACTACAGTGATCTCACACATGACGTAACGGTACGTGCTGCATGACTACAAAACTTCTCAAATATCGATCAAATTTCGACCGTCATGGAATCTAAACCCATATTGCGACACGTATGTCGCTTCTGAACGAGGCTTCGTCAGGCACTGAATAGAGTTCAGATATAGATTGAAGCCTAGTGTTGACAATTCGGCGACCAAACAGTAACTTGGACGCCGTAATAGACTCTTCTGTCTCGATTTTTACTTTTCAATATTATAAACATTAATTGTAATGATCTATAATTTGAGACAAATAAAAATTATTATTATTTACACTACATTCTCTCAGCTTCTGCTGGTTTTTTTTTACCACACTTACGGGCCGAAACTAAGTAAGTGCAGAGTGTATATTTGTGTATACACACATATGTGTGAGTGTATGTGTACTTATTGTGTAACTGGAGTTATGTCCTTTCGGACAGTTCGACAGGTATTTAAAATGGCAGCCATTTAAAGAGTGATGTAGAGTGTTTTTTGTATATTTAATTGTTTCAGACTATGATGTAGGTGATAATTGATACCTGTGGATAAGAGGACTATTGGTATTAAATAAACTTTTTCCTGTTTCCAGATTCTTGTTACTTCTTCTTTTTGTTTATTTTTCAGCAATTGTCTTCTGGACAATCTGTAACTATAGACATTGCAGTTCCTAATACCCCTAACTGCAATGTCTATCAGGTAAGAAAAAAAACTTTATCTTGTAGTACTATGTCTGGTCTATTGTAATGAATTATTATTTTTATTTAATCATGCATTTTATATTCTCGAATTTCTCCGATGTTATTATTATGTTTTGTTTTCTCAGCTTTTGCTGGATTTTTGCTCTTTGTATATTACCACACTTTCGGACCAAAACCAAGTGTGCAGTATGTGTGTGCATATGGTCGTGCGTGCGTGCGTGTGTACACGTGTGAGTGTGTGTGTGTGTGTGCATATGGTTGTGCACACGTGTGAGTGTGTGTGAGTGTGTGTGAGTGTGTGTGTGTGTGTGTGTGTGTGTGTGTGTGTGTGTGTGTGTGTGTGTGTGTGTGTGTGTGTGTGTGTGTGTGTGTGTGTGTGTGTGTGCATATGGTCGTGCGTGCGTATCGTGTGTAAGTGTGTGTGTGTGTACATATTATGTGAAGTCACACCCTGAACGCATTAGACACGGGTGAATATCAGTTAGGGTCTAAAGCTAGACTTGAGTAATAACGTTATCAAATAAGTTTTAATTGATAACGCAACACCTAAATCTAATTTCAGTTGATACGTTGCTAATGCATCCGATTAGTTTTGCGTGTAGTTGTACTTATTAGCTTATCATATAATATGAAATTTAAAAAACTGATATAGTGTAAGACGTACTGGTAAACCGAGGGTTCCGGACATACATATATTAGTAAGAAAGAAAGAAAGAAAAATATTTTATTCAGTGCAATGTAAAAAATACAATATAAACAACAATAGTACATTTATTATTAAGCGGATTTCTTTATCGAATGCTAGCTGTCCCCGTGGTTTCACCCTCGTTAAATTTCAATAAAAAATGTGTTATTCTGATGCAATCTTACTGTAAAATATCAAAATCCGTTCAGTAGTTGTTGCATGAAAGAGTAACAAACATCCATACTCACAAACGGGTATATCCTTACTAATATTATAAATGCGAAAGTAACTCTGTCTGTCTGTCTGTCTGTCTGTCTGTCTGTCTGTCTGTCTGTCTGTCTCGCTTTCACGCCAAAACTACTGAACTGATTTAAATGAAATTTGGTACCCATATAGTCTAGACGCCGAGGAAGGACATAGGCTACTTTTTAATGCGAAAAAAGGGTTGTAAGGGGTTGAAAATATGCAAGGTTATCTTTATGCGGTTGAATACACACTTATTATAATAATGGCTTAACTAAAAAATTAGATATTTTGGAAAGTCTACTTTATAATTGTGTTATTAAGTCTATTTTCAAAAATTTTTAATTTCTGAATTACATTGTATTGTACTAGATATGCGACTTATTAACGCTCATATGTCATAAATAAACATATATGTCATTTGTATAAGCAGAGCGCATGCGATGTTGCGCGCGCAACTGATTATTGTCAATCCGTTGTCTCCTTATGAATTTAAATGAATAAACGTTTGCTCTGCAATTTTATTTTATAAATACATAAATATAATCCTGGTATAGCCTATAACTGATGACCCTGCTCTTGGACAAGAGCGTAAGAACATATTATTAATATTTTTGAAGAATAAAACAACATATAATATTAAAAATGTTGTCAATACGTATGAACAAGATTTCTGTGGAAGAAACAACATCTACCGTTCCATCCGAGCTATTCAGGTTCGGAATACGCGTTTCTCCATTCTGGCCAGTAGAGTCAGAGCTATGGTTCGCGCAAGTAGAGGGATAGTTTGCAATTTAGAATATCATATCTATTATTTTGATTTAACAAAATTTTATTATGTTATTGGCCAACTGGACCACCAATTTTCAAAAGAATTTAAAGAAATGTTTAAACTGTTTATTAAATATAAATAAATATGACATTTAAATTTGTAAATATTTTTTGTCACCATTCAAGGGGTAAAATAAAATAGCAGATAAAAGTTTTTATGGAAATTCGTCATTTTGAATAGAACGATAATTTTTTATATAAATTTCCAGGGTCAGTTTATTTAATAAATACCTTACTAATATATGAAAGTGAAAGTGACTCTGTCTGTCTTAAAAGCCAAAACTTCTGAACTGATTTAAATGAAATTTACGTAAGTCGTTAGTGACAGATAAAGTCTAGATCTTGAGATAGGACATAGGTTACTTTTTAATGCTAAAAATGGTTATAAGAGACTGAAAGAGGAATTTTTTAAAAGTTTAAGCTTCAATCTTATTTTTTTGCGTATTGATTAAATATAATTAACGAAAATGGGTTGTAAGGGTCAAAAGGGGAGTTAAAATGTTGTATGCATGTATTGTCATTTTTTAAAGCTAGAAACTTGAAACCCATTTTTTTGGCTGTTGAGAAAATATCAGTACCTATGATACAGGACTCAGCCATAAATGGTTACAGTATAGCGACATCTTATCATTGGTACATGATGACACTAATATAAGTAGCATTAAAAAAATATAAGAAAAAGGGTTATAAGGGGTTGAAAGGGGAGATGTAATGTATGTATGGTATGTATGGAAGTATCTTCATTTTAAAGATAGTAGTTTAAAACTTAGTTTTTGGCTGTTGATTGAATTGTATGGAATTATGTATGGAAATTTCATTTTTGAAGCTAGAACGATGAAACTTTTTTATTGGGTTAGATTATTAATATATATTTTTTATTATTTGCTCAAGGTCACTATTTTACTCGGACGAAGTCGCGGGTACAGCTAGTAATAGTATATATGTGGAAAGAGGATTTATTCTTATTTTCTTTGATTAAGTCGTCTTTTTTTTTATAATAAAACTATAATAAAAATGCATTTTATTTTATTATAGTTTTATTTTAAAAAAAGGAGAGGGAGTTGATAAAACGACGTAAGACGATGTAAAGACGTTTATAAATAATTAAATATTTTAAGACTTTCCTTCAAGTCTCACTCGCGATAATCCCACATATATATTAAGGAAGATTAAGACTAACTAATAGTCAAACTATGGTCAAACCATTCACCATCACCATCGACCTTCGACCATCACTACATAGTATAGAACAAAATAGCTGTCGCTGTGTCCGTCCCGTAATGTATGCTTAAATCTTTAAAGCTATTTGGACGATTTTTGAAGCGGTTTTTTTAATAGATAGAGTGATTCAAGAGGAAGATTTATATGTATAATACATGTACACCCCTGCGAAGTCGAGGTGGGTAACTAGTAATTAATATAAATTACGGTTAAATGGTGAAGTCCAGATTTTCGCTCCGTATATTTGTGGTCTCACACATGCTAATTGTAGCTGAATTAAACAAAATAATAGAAATCCATGTATTACAAAGTTGACCCGTAACTACGTCACCTTTTCGCCTTTCCTTCCTTGTTATTGCTAAAATATCTTTATGTCTTTGATTACGACTCGTTCATTCGAGAAAACGTAATAAATATACATATTTTTACATTAATAATATGAAAATTGCTTTCAAATATATAGAATTCCTTATTATAGAAAAATTACTATCAATACATAGTATAAACCAAAGTCGCTGTCGCTATCTGTCCGTCCCTATGTATGCTTAAATCGAAGCTACGCAACGGATTTTAAAGCAGTTTTTTTAATAGTTATAGAGATTCAAGAGGAAGGTTATGTGTAAATACATTTACACCCGGGCGAAGCCGGGGCGAGTATCTAGTTACATATAAAAGGCTTTTAGAGATAAACTCGTCTTTGTTCATTACATTTATCATATTACTAGTAATGATTAGTCGCCAGATGTACATACGGACACACAAATTGATATCATGACACATCATTTTCATCCATTTATTACGGAACCCTAAAAATCTCATTAAAAGCAGCAATTAACAGCATCATAATCACACTCCCTTTATCTTGCAACACTCATATACTGATATTACAAGGATTTTACTACTTAAATTAATCTTCAGATAGAAATTAATATATTATTAATATTAATATATAAATAGGCACTTAATTATATCAACAGATATACACAACATGCACAATTAAAATATACGCAAATGTTTTTTTTTTCGGACTACTCTAATGCTGTTGGCCGCAGCTGGCCTTTACAGCTTCACCGGACGATAGGGGGCGAGTGCAGATGGCACTCCAAACCCGCGGTAGGACTTATGGAGCGGCTAAAGGCCAACTCCTGCCTGACGGATATAACTTTAGTCTGAGGGCACCACTAGGGGTTCTAACCTCGGCTCAGGCCGTCGTAATTTCGATCCCCGTTTGAATTGGACGGGGGATCGATCGGAGGGGCTGCGCAAACGTGTATTAATAATAATAATTCTAACTAACTCAATAATAGCATCTTCACATATACTTTTGGCTAAGGCCCGTGTGGGTGAGTTGACTTCTTTTAAACTAAGAGAAGAAGAGAAAAGAAAAGATTAAAAGTAATAATCATAATGTCCCATCGTTAGTACTACCAACAGCTTCGCTATGAAAATGAGAGAATAATAACTATAAATAACCTTAGACAATTCACATAGCGATGTAGTCCGAAGCTAAGCAGAGCTTGTGTTATGGGTACTAATCAAGTGATACATGTTTTAAATATATACATAGAAAACACCTAGACCAATACAAACGTATGACTGTTACATACAAATGTTTCTATTATGCGAGGAATTGAACCCGCACCATCGGAAGTAAGGTGGTGTGCTAAATCACTAGAACATATACACATATGTGATGAAAATATACTGTCTATTTCTGTTTACGACAAATAAAGTTGATGAAATATTGAGGAAGAACTTTCTTAGCTTTTATGACTGTATGGTTAACATACAGTCATAAAAGGATAAAACTAACCCTATGGCATATGATGTTATGGTATGGCAAGTTCTTGTCATAATAACCCATTTACAGAAGGAAAAGAGGATTGTTAGTAATGTGGACTGACGATCCGATTACTAGCAATATACGATGTCGGATAAAGCAACGCGGTTCCCTCTGGAAACCATCGTGATAAATTTCTGGTGAATTTACCAAGATTTGCCCCGCCAGTTTAAAGCGCTAGTGGAGGCGGGTCCACTATTCCATTACCATCCATAAGAATCCCTATATGTATGCCAATTACTTGTGATATTAACCCATTTACAGATATGATAATTGGAACTATGCATTCACTTCTATTGCACTACTATGATGTGCTATTTTATAGCTATCTACTTCTAAATCTGGTGTTACATGTCACCGGATATGAACAATCTTTGTCTCATAGGCTTTGTCTGCATTAACTTATCAGATATTAAAGTTAGATTAATTTTGTTGATTAATATAAGCATTTCAGGGTCGTATCTATGGAGGAAACTTCGAGCGTAAATTGTAAATATATTATGGGACCCAAGTCACTGCCCTGAAGTACTTAACACTATATACTAAAAATATTACGTGTCTTTTTATTGCAATATCATCTTTTGTCAAAATTGATTTTATAAAAGAGAAAGACTCATTAAACTTGTATACGACACCGAGACATACGAGACAAGTAAAAGGAAAGAGATAAATACTGAAATATCGCAGAATCACGCTCTGTAAAGCACTTCAAATATTTTAGTGTTCCTAATTTCACCTACTGATTTACCTGAGCCTGATTTGTCCTACGGACCTTCTAAAGCTTCCATTCTTCCCTCCTGTCCTTGTACACTCCAGGTCATACAATAAAAGTGGTCCAAATCGTCCCACTTCCTTTTTAGTCAACTACAATTTCTGAGCCTATAGTCCATTGAATAATAAATTTGTCTTAAATTTTATATGGAAAACTTACTAAATATTATATTATTAATAGTCTTTATTTTATTTTTAGAATTACGAGTATTTGCTCAAATCCTTTTTTACAACTTCTATAGATGTGCTTCATGTATTTTTTGTAGTATGTAAAAATTATCAATAAATATGTTTAGCTAAGCATATTATATCATTAATGCATTCTCATCTATAATTCATATGCTTTTATATATATAGATATAGTCCTGTGATCAAGTCTATTATTAATTTAAATTACGATTTACGTATATAATTAAATAAAGACGTATTATCATTAATTATAGAAATTACTTAATCATTAGAACTTTTAAGTCGTTAGTGACAGATAAAATGTCCTAATTACCAATTATTTTATATATAACAAGCGACCAGCCCCAGCTTCTCCCGAGTTTGTATAATACTTTAGTAATATTCACTTGTCTATGATATATTCACTGATGATATAGACAAGAAAAAGTATAGAAGTTGTTATGACACGCGACAGCAAAAATGTAGAACACAAAGTATGTTTTATTGACTTCATTCATGAGTATGATTGTTTGTATTGGTCTGGTATGTTTTCTGTATATAAAAAAATGGCGTAATTGTATCAGTTGTCTAGTACCCACAATATATCACTGCTTAACTTGGAACTAGATGGCGCTGTGTGTGTTTGCAGGTTGTTATTATTACCTACACCTTCTAAAGCCGGTAACTAAACTGCAATTGCCTGGGTGTTACGGGTGCTAATGAGCAGCAGTAATCACTTACCATTAGATGTGCCACAAGACACTTTGCCTTCTATATCTTTAAAAAGAAGAAGTCTAGTCCAAAAACTTACCTTCATCAACTGATTCATGAACAGTGGCGGCCAGCAAGCCGCCATTATGGCACCGATGAGGACTAGAACTGATCCGAAGCCAAGAAAGAGGCCAGTTTTCATTGCTGACGACACCATTTTGACTATCTGTAAAAAAACATGCTCAGTTATTTGATGTCTAATAACTATAGTACTTAAATCGAATACTATTTGCCGCTTTATTGAAATATGCAGTTTAACTATTATTTTCTATATAGAATAGGTTGATTTAATAGGTTGACCTGATATAGACTGAAATACAGCTTACGAAACAAGTGATGATAGCTGATACAGGAGAGACTGAGGCACCCACGCTGTTTTAAAGTTTTTAAATTAAGAGAAATTAAATATAACTCGATACAATACGGTTTGTTACAATAAATAAGAATTACTATGTAATATTATAAACGCGAAAGTTTGTGAGCAAGGATTGATGGATGTATGTTTGTTTCTCTTCCAGACAAAAACTACAGAACATAGGCTATAATTTAAAAAGATATAATGTAAATTAGGCGAAATATAATGATAAATGTCAAGTAAAAAGCCGAAGTTGTGCGGTTCAGCTAGTCAATAACTTTGACCGGTGTTGTTACCACGTAACATGTTGATCGGAATTTTCTTAAAAATACCTTGACCTTGACCGATCGGAATTTTTTTGAGTGCTAAATGATTGAGACCCTACAGTCGACAATTGATGAAATTTTTGTCTCGATCGGCGAGCCATTTCGGAGGAGTACAAACCTGATCTCTAAGATTACTCCGTGCTCCACTCAATAAAGTGTCCCCACAACATCCACAAGACGGACCAACGCCGTCGAAGTCGTGGTAAAATGCTAAGCGACTACGGTGTATGATTTGGTTTTGATAAATATTCCACACCACAGTCGACCTTCCTTTGTTGGATGGAGAATATTTGGGAGAGTTTTAACAAATAAAAAAGAAAATACATATAGGTGGTACTTCGCTTGTACCTTGCAACAAGCAAGTACTTGTTGATCTGATAGCAAAGATCGCCGATTATATATTTATTGACAAAAATACTAATCAGCACGTGATCCATCAACGATTGTCCAAAATCATGTTTGCTTAATGTGAATATTTTCTAATTACATGCTATCTAAGATATTATTAGGCCTTTTCTTTGTTACTAGAATAAGGTAAGCCAGGCCTATTACTCACTAAACGATTACTTGAATGACGAGCGTGCATGGCAATAGTTTTCATGTTCGGGATTTTCATTTAATGTTAGACATAGACACCTATATAAATACCTATGCATTGTAAATAAACAGGATTTTAAAAACAAAGTAATTCAATTGAGTTTCTTGCCAGTTATTCTCAATTGGATCTATATACCGAACTGGACGGTAGGGAAAAAAATTATAATGTAAAAACTTGACGTTCATAAGTGGCTAAAATGTCCTACATGAATAAATGATTTTTGAATTTGAATTTGAATTTAGAATGATAAACAAACTGACTTCACCGGCGATTGCAGATGGCAAACTCGCGGTAGAACTTATGGCTTGGCGGCTGAAGGGCAACACCTGCCTTACGGACCTGTCAGAGACCAAGCTGATGGTCAGATAGAAGTTTTTTTTCGGATTACTCTAATGCTGTTGGCCACATCTTTACCGGACGATAGGGGGCGAGTTTAGACGGTAGTCCGAACCCGTGGGAGGACTTATGGAACGGCTGAAGGCAAGCTGATGATACGATGGAAGGTAATTTTTTTTCGATCTACTCTAATACTGCTGGCCACAGCTTGACCGGACGATAGGAATTTAGGATAGAAACTTGAAACCTATTTTTAGGCTGATGATTAAATATAAATAAATATGACATTCGAGTTTGTACAAATTACTAATTACTCTTTAAGATATAAAAAAAATATGGGACGAAAGTATGGAAATTCGTCCTTTTTGAAGCTAGAATGATGAAACTTATTATTTGGCTCTTTTGGGTTAGATTATTTATATTTTTTACTAGCTGTTCTCGCAACTTCGTCCGCGTGGAATTTAACTTTATTTATTTAAGTTAACTTTATTACATCAGCTACCTGCCAAAAAAAGTCCCGTCAAAATAAAAAAATTGTAAAAAATGTTATTTTGGTGTATGTACCGTATTTATATTAATATGCATGTAGTAAAAAACAGTTATTTCAATGTTACAAACAGACACTCCAGTTTTATTTATATGTATAGATGTATAGATTGGTTAAAGTCACTATTTCATGAGGACGAAGTCTCAAGCACTGCTAGTTATATTATTAATAATATGTATCTAAGAGACTGTCTGTAGGAGATGGGGATTATTAATAATGTGGACTAACTTCGACAACTAACGAGGTTGACGTCCACGTGGTACCCCCTAGAAACCATCGTGGTAAATTGAAAATTGCCTAGAAGCGCTGACCTGACATCATGCTCATTTTATCATCCTACATTGTGCCTTCCAACGTAAACCATTTGCGCAGGATCCATAGATGATAATGGAATGGTCCCGCCATACCATTATCATCCATTAGACACACTGCACGTGATTACTTGCTAATCGCTCAAATACAAGTTATTCGCGGAACATTGATAGTAAAAGTAAATAAAACTACGCCCATATTTATAAAAAACTAAGCGTTACACGCAATCTCGATACAAAATACATCGGTATGTAGTCACTATTTTATCTACAAATGATATATTTCTTCTGACTCCTCTAATGCTGTTGGCTGCAACTGACCTTTACAGCTTCACCGGACGATAGGGGGCCTGAACTATGCATGAGTCATCAAACGAGACACGTTGAAAGAAAATGCGATTTTCATTATCATGTCGTGCATTACCTGATAAACGCGATGAATACTTTTTTTTCAGACTACTCTAAAGCTGGAGGCCGCAGCTGGCCTTTACAGCTTCACCGGACGATAGGGGGCGAGTGCAGATGGCACTCCAAACCAAGGAAGGACTTATGGAACGGCTGAAGGCCAATTCCGCCTAGCGGGTACGACTTTAGTGTGAGGGCACCGCTATGGGTTCGAACCTAGGCTCAGGCCGTCGTAATTTCGATCCCCGTTTGAATTGGAATGGGGATCACCTTGTAATACAGTTTATATGATTTAAGAGATCATTCTACAATCGTAGGGCATATCAATACACAACTCCGGGGGGAAATGTGATTGTTAGTAATGTGGATTTATGACCCCATTGCTAGCAATGTACCATGTCAGGTTGACCTCCACGCGGTTCCCCCTGGAAACCATCCTGATAACGATCATGTTCATCTTATCATCCTCCAGGTGAAAAATTTGTCATCGATGGCACGCAACTATTGTCCTTCTTTATGTATAGCGTAAAAGCGTTAATTGAAACTGTTTTGTGATTATGTAGGAATCATTTAACAGTACCTTCAACTAAGTTTAAAACATGTTTATTGAGCGTCTCACTAAACAATTACTCAAATGACAAACATGTATGGCAATAGTAGCAGTTCATGCACGGAATTTTCATATAATGAATAAATAAACTTGTTCAAAAAAAAAAAGAAAAACAGTTTAGTTTCTTGCCAGTTCTTCTCAATTGAATCTGTATACTGAACTGGGCGGGAAAAATAGTAATACAAAAAACTTGACGTTCATAAGCGGCTAAAATATTGTACACGAATAAATTATTTTTAATTTCAATTGTATACATCTTGACAACCATACAAAAACCATACAATACATACATTGTATGGTTTTTAGCTGTCAAAATGTCCGAATTATTAATCATAATAATAATATCTCAGGACAAGTCACACAGCGCCATCTGGTCCCAAGATAAGCTGAGCTTGTGTTATGTTGTCTAGTACAACTGATATACTTGTAAATACGTGTATACATTTTTGTATGTAATTTTATATGTAAAACATGGATTTTTTTGTAAATAATATATAATAATAATAATAATCTCAGGACAATTCACACAGCGCCATCTAGACCCAAGTTAAGCTAGCTAAAGCTTGCGTTATGGGTACTAGATAATTGAGACATATATATAGATATTTTTTTTGTAAATACATACATATTATACATAGAAAACACCCAGACTGATACAAACAATCATACTCATGAATATGTTTGTAACATGCGAGGAATCGAACCCACGACCGTCGGATAGTAAAGCGGGGTGTTAAACCACTAGACCACCGAAGCTGTCAATTATACTACTTTTATTTCAAATGAGATTTGATTGAATCACGTTACGCAATCAAGCTTTTAGTCAATAGACCTATAGGCATAGACATACTTCCTTCGCAAAGGAGATAGTACACCGGACACTCTGTATCACTCTTTTGGGCGGATGCAGTAGATAGAACATGTTGTTTACGTCTAAATATAAAGAATTGAATATCAGATTTAGATTACAATATAAAAAAATCAAGAAAGCAATAGGCTGCGTCTTTAAAACCCTTTCAGTGATGAACTGCGACATGTGATGACGAGCGTGCATGACAATAGTTGTTCATGCACGGGATTTTCATTTAATGTTAGACATAGACCTATATAAATATATTGGAAATAAACTGGTATAAAAAAATATATTCAATTGAGTTTCTTGCCAGTTCTTCTCAATTGGATCTATATACTGAACTGGACGGTAGGGAAAAACTATAATATAAAAAAATCTACATTCATAAGCGTTACCCGCTTATGGACATCGAATTTATGTAGTAAAAAATGGTTATTTCAATATTACAATCAGAATTTATTTATATGTATAGATATAAACTTCTTACTTTGTTGACACAGAATCAATAATAATGCCATAAATATATAAGATAAAGGCCCTGCTGCATACCGTCAAGTCTAAAAATAATAAACTATCTAGCGACATTGTAAGTAGAGAGTCACAGACAGTGTGAATAATTTTTTATACCTATTCATGTGACACAACCTTTGTATGTAAATGTATGTTGGACTCCAGTCTCCGCAATTAACCTCTCATTCGGGCCGTTGTGCGTGCAGAGCCAGACTACTAGAGTAGCCAGCCAAGCTCGTCCCAAGCGCAGAAGACTCCTGGTGTCTTCACAGGCTTCACGGAGCGACCTCACCGTTCCGAAGATTTGTTTTCGTTGTGTGGCCACTGCTGCCCACTTCAGGATTACGTGAGCTGCCGTTTCTTCGGCTTCAAAGCAGCCCCGACAAAGGGGACTGTCTGTAACATCAATTTTGTATAAGTGTTTGTTTAAGGAACAATGGCCCGTTATTGTCCCTATCATTATTTTGAGGTTATGTCTATCTAGATTAAGTAGACGTGACGTGACGTGACACAACCTTTATAACTATAACTTTTTGTAATTAACTAAGAATTCATGAATGTTTTTCGTGAAAAAAATGTGACGCTGCTATTGTGAGATGCAGCAACCTTTTTTTTTTTATAACTATAACTTTTTGTAATTAACTAAGGATGATAATATGATTCATGAATGTTTTTACAAGGACAAAAAGGAATTTAACAATGGTTTCCAGGGGGAACCCATGGAGGTCAACTGACATACATGTGAATGGGATCATTAGTCCACATTACTAACAATCCCATTTCCCCCCAGCATGGGCCTCTGGTACCTTTTTTTTTTAACTTAAGCAGCAAACAAGACGTAGCACCTACACCACATCTGTTCATAGTCTCCGACTGATTGCAGGATAGGCACAGATTAAAAAAAAAAAAGTTGCAAACAATGATACTCCTAATGGAAAATGGTTATTTTATAAAAAAACATGAAGTTCATAAGCGGCTAAAATGTCTAACATGAATTAATGATGTTTAAATTAGAATTATATACAGTTGAAGTGACAGCGAAAGGTATACCACCGAAATTTCTCTGCAATATTCTAAAATATCTTGGCTTTAGAACTGGAGTAAGTTCTACAATAAAAAGTGTAGTGTATTGAATATATACTTAAGTGTAGTATAGTAATTGACTCTGTTGTTGTAATTATTGTATAACCTACACTGTATTGTTTTGGCTATCTCATAAGGGAAGGCCTCCAGCAAGGTGGACCGACGATGTGGTCAAGATCGCTGGAAGGCATTGGATGCGAGCAACGCAGGACTAATCGTCGTGGAGATCTTTGGGAGAGGCCTATGTCCAGCAGTGGACGTCTTCCGGGCTGCGATGATGATGATGATGATAATAAACACATGATTAATTACAGACTGGTTTAATTTATAATAATAATAATTTTTATTTTGCATCCAATATTTACAATTTAAATTGTTCCCTGGTACCCAAACTAAGTAGAAACTTGTATTTAGGTAACAGTTCCCTCCTCTTACAATTCACAATGGTTGGAATTAAAATTTACAAAAAGATACCAAGATAATATATAATAAACCATATAATAAAAGTATACAGTATACCATATAATAAAAATTATAACTAATGACGCTAGTAGTATAACTAACAGGTTCCTACCAAAGTTGCTGGACAGGGAGAACATCACATGCAGTGAAGACGAGTGTTTCATACTCTGTACGTACATAAATATGTGTATGAGAGAACTAACCAAAACAATATCAGCAAATATATTAACTTTCTTACATAAAAAATAATTAATTACTTAATTGAATCAATACTACTAATTTTGTTATGCTCAGCTTAAATAAACTAGGCCACAAGAGCTAGGTATCATATTGTATACTAGCTGTTCCCATGACTTTGTCCGCATGGAATTTAACTTTATTTTTCTAAAATAAAAGTAGCCTAAGTTACTCCTTATTACATCAGCTACCTGTCAAAAAAAGTTCTGTTAAAATTGGTTCAGCCACTTCAGAGATTAGCCGGAACAAACAGACAGACAGACAGAAATTGTAAAAAAAGTTATTTCAGTGTGTTCTTTATATGCATGTAGTAAAAAATGATTATTTCAATATTACAAACAGACATTCCAATTTTATTTAGGGATAGATGAATCTGGGATAGATAAAAACATAATCTTATTCTGTCTCTTAGGTTCAAATATTTTTGATTTGTAGCTCCAATGACAATTAGGGCTAACATGTCATGGGACCATTATTTATTTTACCTCCATAACTACGTTTTCAACCGCATATTCTTAAAAAACAAGCAGCTTGGCGCATAAAATAAGAAAGTTGGAGAACACCCGCAGAAAACTTTGTCAGAAGTCTTATCTTGAATTAAAAATATAAATAAAAAAAATATACGCAATGAACAAAATTTTGTAAAAGTTGGTATGTAATTTCTGAATGTACGTAGAATTTTGTATATGTCTAAAATTATGGAACTCTTTTCCTGCCGTCCTAAGACCCATAGCGTGAAAATCAGCTAAATAGTTTCACAAGAATTACGATTATATACAATTTACTCTTAGATTACATAAGTACTTACCTATATATAACAGACCTATTTAATATACGCCAAAAGACAGTTTATCATTAATTAAATATGTAGAAACTACATTTGTGTACTTCAAAACACTGTTATAAACTTGTTTAAGCTGAATTCTCCCAAAATACTAGTATCACACACTTGAAATTAATTAATCCTAAAACTTAACTAGCATTATTTACACTAAACGTAAGTGTTGTAATAATTTATTTCATATTTACACAAAAGACTATGAAAAATAGTTGGTAAATTACAACAGCAATGAACACATGCGAACACGTTACACACACTAATTCAATAATGACAAAGTCGAAAAATAAAAATAACAATGACTTTTGACAGATGATTGCATATAACATGACGTAACTGACAAAAAAATTGACAGTGGGTTGACAGCTAACATATTGGCAATAGACATTGACAGTTATTTCATTTTCTTTTGACTCCGGAAGCCGTAAATTTAGTATTGTGAATAAAGTTTATTTCTAATCTCCTAAGGTTTTTAGGCTGATTCTTTACCCATATGGTGTCAGTACTAGTTAAGTAGCTAAAGATCAGGCACGCATTCTACCAAGGATAGAAATTATTATGTTCACAGAGGTTTTTTTATGTGTATGATAATGGAATGATGCACCCGCCTGCGCTAACGGTTTACGCTGGCGGGGCACCAGTGGAGGATGGTAAGATGAACATAAAGTCAGGTCAGTTAGACGATCATGTCAAGTTCACCAGGAATTTACCACGATGGTTTCCAGAGGGAACCGCGTGGAGGTCAACCTGACATGGTACATTGCTAGTAATGAGGTCATGAGTCCACATTACTAACAATTCCTTTCCCCCCTGTTCACAGAGTTTCAAAGCCTCTCAGTTAGACTGAAATGATATCCGTCAAGCAAGAGTTGGATTTAGCCGCTGCATCAAAAATACTTCAAGTTTAGAGTTTCCTCTGCACTGATCCAAATTTTCGTCTAGAAAATCTATAAAAACGTGCTGTAGGTAAACCGGATAGTCAGTTTATTACAAATTAAAATCAGAATTACTTTAAATAAAAGAATAGATGTTCTTTCAATATTATTCACATGTTTATTACAACAAAACAGGTTATGTTAGGAACCGGAAATAAACAACAATGTTGCCTACATTATTTATTTATTGAATAAATTACAAAAACCGTAATGTAAATTTTCAATGGCAGTCTGTGATATTCACCAAACTATGATTTCAATGAACAAATTGACACTAAATGTTAAATAAAATCCATTTTCCATTAGAAAGCGTACATACTGTGGAATGGTCCTCAAGCCTAGTGTAAAAGCCATTTTGAAATAAAATCACACGATCGACAAGCCGTGAAGTAAAATGTATTTAATTTCATACTTATATTTGTTAGAAAGTGTTCTTGCGAAAGTATTCTATAGCATGAATTGTACAGCATAGCTGTAATTATACATATTATGTCCTAATGAGTTGTTGATTCGAAAACTGTCGATCATATATCCCTAAATAATATTGAGATCGATCAGAGATGTGATTAGCTAAAGTAACCAATAATAAAATAAAAATAATTCAAATGCAATGTCAAAAAACATTAAAGAAAATATGTTAATTTTCAAAAACAAATCATTTTCGATATTTATCAATGAATACTTTCTGATAAGACACTAGAACGTCATGCAATTAAGGCTCTCATTAAACTATCAGTGAAAAAATAATTTTATAACATTTGGTACACATTCATTTTTTATCGGTATATATGTACAATTACAAACAACAACAATTATGTCGAAGTATTAATACTTCATTTATCTATTATAGTACAACAGCTTAAATATATTTAAGTAAACATTCCTAAATAATAAAATTTATTTGTTTTTGAAAATTTACAAACGATTCAAGTGAGACATTTTCTTTTCTACTGGCTCTGGCTATGTTTCCATTTTTCATTTTTTAGTTGTGCAACATTGGTTGTGATGGCTATCAATTTCCTGCAATTCAAATATAGAATACAGTCAATATTTAAATTTGTGACAATCTTGCCAGATATAAAAAAATATTTTTTATTATTCTCTGACCAATCTCAATAGATTAATTCAATTTATATTCCCGTTAAGCTAGTGTATGGCGATAAGGCCCGATTCTAGAAGCTTCTGTATCTTGGCTGCTATATCTGGGTTCTTGAGATGGTCTTGTAGCGCCTGCGGATCTTGTTGCATCTGTTCAAGGATGCAGCGCATTGCAGGATCGCGCAGGATTGATTGCACTTCGGGATCAGCCATAGCGCGCTTGCGCACCTACGAGACACAAATACAATTTCAGATGGGTAGCAATAAAAATATATTTATTTGTAAGAGTTTTGTTGTGCAGTTAGAACACTTTGTTTAAAGGATCAGTTGTGTTATAATATTTGCAGTTAAACATTTTAAAGCACCTTAATTGGTAGTCAGAAAGAATTCCAAACGTAAATGAACATATACTCTATTACTCTATGTTCATAAACTCAGTGCTCAATTTGACTAATTCCAATAACAGATTTTATACTAGGTTTTTGTATCTATGATATACAAAAACCTACTATAAAGTCTTTTAACTAATTTACGGAGGTAGACTCCAAAATTCTGGACTGGAGGACTGATTATATATATATTGTAATTTTTTTAATATTTTTTGCCTGGAAGACGTCCACTGTCCCCCTATACTCCATGACGATCTTAAATCTTTAAAACTACGCAACGGATTGTGACCCAACGGCCATCTGTTTTTTTTTGCCATAAATTTAAATTAATAGATAGAGTGATTCGATCACGCAAGAGTGACTCTGAATTGTATTATGTTTTTACTGAAACTTTAGTTGTCTGTCCCTATACATATTAAATCTTTAAAACTACGCAAATAATATAACTGATGTATAATACATTTACATAATACATTTACACCCGTGCGAAGCCGGGGTGAGTAGCTAGTTATTATAATTTATACTGTGTTTCATAAAGTGTATGTAGGTGTACATGTGAATGAATGTCTGTTCTATCACATACCTCCTCAGGGTTGGAGTTGAGTTGCGTGGAGCAGGCACGGTAGCCTTCCAGGGCCTCCGCATTGCTGGGGTCCAGCTCCAGCGCCTTCTGGTACGCGGACAGAGCTTTCGATGGCTGCTGCATGCCCTGTACAGCATTCGTTACTTGTTAAGTACTAAACTTAATTATGTTAGGAAACTACTACTACTACTAAACTTTTAACCTTTAACTACTAACATCCACCCGAGTTAAATAATATTAAATTAAAAAATAATCCTTATTGGAACTTAAAAATAATATTCCAAATAGGGAAGCACATGAAATCGTGGGAAGCAACTAGTGAATAATAATAATATATTTGAAATAATGTTGTGAACATTGTAAATAAATGATAACAATCAGATTAGTAATAATATTGAGTTGTGGCTGACAACGCCCACCTCTTCGCCTCACAGTACATTTATGAAAATATTATGTAAATTACAAGGAAAAACTTAGATAGTTTCAAAAAACTTAAAGACTGTACAAGTAGAAACTTACGCAATAAAAGTAAGCTAATTTTACCTAAATGCCGTCTACACAAAGTTAGTAATTCATTCTATGGTAATTGCGTAAGATTTTACAATAAACTGCCAGAATCTACGCAAAATCTGACAGAGAGGCAATTCAAAATTTATATTAAACAAATGTTATGTAAAAAAGCCTATTATAGGATAGATGAATTCATAGATGACAGCAATAGCTAGCAAAAATATTTTTTTTAGCAGACAACGTTATAATTTCTTTTTCATACTGCTTTCTTGAAATATGATAGCGTAGCGGCTTTTGTAGTGATTGCCGCATGCATCCTCATGTAAAGTGCGAATACTATAACTACCATATAATAAGTTTAAATAAGTAGCTATGACGAAGTCGCGTGGAATGAGTAGTCATGCTCACTAAAATCTCCAGACATGTGGCGGCGTGGTGGGCCGGGTCATTGGGCTCCCTAAAATATGGTCGAGCGCAGTGATGGCTGACTCATCCGTCATACTCGTGAACGAGTGCTGCTTGTAGGGGCTGGTCTGCTCTTATCACTACGACTGATTTAATCTTAATGTGTTTTTATATTTGCGCCTAAATGAATTAGTGCTGGTTGGTAGTTTGTATTCACACGTTTCGACTTGTAAAATGTGAACTTACAAGGGTTGTTTAAAAGAGCAACACACAAGTTTCTTACTCGTTCGCTTACCGAATAAGCGGTAGTAAATTGTTGACTATTCAAAAGTGCTTAAATTAAGTTTATTTGAATAAATGATTTTCTATTCTATTCTATTCTTTAAGGCAGAGACGTTAGCGTTCCAGTGTTTTACAACAATATATTTATCCTTACTAATAACAGTAAAGCGAAAGTAACTCTGTCTGTCTGTCTCGATTTCACGTCAAAATTATATTATATACTAGCTGGACCCGTGGAATTAACTTTATTTTTCTAAAATAAAAGTAGCCTAAGTTACTCCTTATTACATCAGCTATCTGCCAATAAAGTTGTTGTTTCGACAACTGATAATACTTTCATTTTTTTTGTAATTTTCATTTTTTAGTTGTGCATACATACATAATATATATATACAACCAGAGATAATGCTTTTTTTTGAATCATATATATATAAAAATATTTGCACTAATAATCTTAACCATTCACCATCGCCATCTAGAAGCGGTGTGCTAAGCTGGCTAAAGCTTGTGTTATGGGATACTAGACAACTGTACAAATACACAGATATTTACAATATATATATACTCATGAATACAAATGTTTGCACCGTACGAGGAACGAATCCAGCACCATAAATAAATTTGTAAGGTGTGCTAAACCGTTTGTAAATTGTGTTAAATAACCGTTTTACTACATGCATATAAAACCATAATATAACATACTTACGTAGAAGAAATCTATTCACTTACAGCACTAATCTATACATATAAATTAAATACTCGAGTGTCTGCTTTATATATATATTGTAAATTGAATCAACCGTGTTTTACTACATGCATATGAATATAAATACGGTACATACACCAAAATAATATTTTTTACAAATTTTTCTGTCTGTATGTCTATTTGTTCCGGCTAATCTCTGAAATGGCTGGATCGATTTTGACTGGACTTTTATAGCAGGTAGCTGATGTAATAAGGAGTAACTTAAGTTTTTTATTTTAGAAAACATCTCTAATTAACTGTTAAATGTCACGCATACGAAGTCGCGTGGCATTTATAGTCCTATATATTATTCATACCTGAAGTATCTTGCCCTTTCGAATCCATCCTTTGATGAACTTTGGGTCCAGTTTACAGCACTGCTCACAATCCTTGAGACCCAGGTCGAACGCCGCCAGTTTCGTGTAACAGGCAGCTCGGTTCGAGTACAACTTGGGGTCATCAGGGTTACGCTTTATTGCCTCCGAGTAATGCTTCATTGCTGTGCTGTAATCGCCTGTAATTATTTCAATATGTAAGCTACAGTTTTATAGATAGTTGTGACACAGTTTTTTTTTAGACTAGAATAGAATAGAAAATCATTTATTCAAATAAACTTACATTGAAGCACTTTAAGTCATAACATTTTTTTTTTAATCTACCGCTCATACGGAATGCTGTCTCATCACAAGAAGAACAAGCAAGAAACTTGTGTGTTGCTCTTTTAAATAATTTATTCTTACTTACAATTTAAGTTTAAGTGTGTGAATACAAACCACCAATTAGCACTACTTCAATGAAATAATAAAATAGAAAAAAACATTCAATATACAACAACTGGTTAAACAATTAATAAGAGAAAATAAGTCATAGTGATTAGAGCAGACCAGTCCACACAAGCAGCACCCGTTCACGAGTATGATGGATGAGCCAGCCACCACTGCTAATGCTATTAACCACTGCTTGCCATTTATTTCTTGTACCTAAACACTGCGCCATTTGCACCTCAATACACCGACTGTTTACTATAGAGGGCACTTAATAAAACACAACTATTTTCACTATAATATTAGTAACCGCCGTGGCAGATATTTTTTTTAAGTCGACTCTAATGCTTTTGTCTGTCCGATCGATCCCCCGTCCAATTCAAACGGGGATCGAAATTATTTGAGCCGATTTTATTGAACTTCATCCGTCAGGCATAATATATATATACTCCATAAGTCCTTCCGTATTTTGCACACACTCCGGTAAAGCTGTAAAAATGTAAAGTAATAATAAAATTATTTAAAAGCTGGCCTTTACAGCTTCTACCACTATAGGGTTTTCGTTTTCTGTGATGATGTCACAAACCGCGATATATTCATGGAGCGGCTGAAGAAACAAAAAAAGCCTAACGGACTGTTGATGTTTGTGTCTGAAGATGGGCATTGAATCTAACCTCGGTTCATCTGATTAATCTCGTGAACGGGTGCTGCTTGTAGGGCTCTGATCTAATACTATGACTGATTTCCTCTTATTAATGTTTAACCAGTTGGTTATATTTTTTCTATTTGAGTATTTTATTGAATTCAAGCTAATTGGTGGTTTGTATTCACACACTTAAACAAAAATCCCACCAATTGCACTAGTTCTTCTTGTGATAGACAGCTTTCCGAATAAGATTAAAAAAATGTAATGACTTTCATATGCTGACAACATAAGTTTAATTGAATAAATGATTTTCTATTCTATTCTATTCTAAAAAAGTTATTTAATTAGAACTGAACAGAGAAATAAATGTTTTTGTACAAAAAAAATCTATTAATCTAATGAAATGTTATCTTTTAACAAATATTGTATTAATATTCTATATTGATGCCTAATTCTAGTTAATGTATATTTTTATTCAGAACTATATTTATTTAAAAGAGCAACACTCAAGTTTCTTGTTACTTCTTCTGTGATGAGTCTGCATTCCGATGGAGTAGTAGAATAAAAAAAGCCCCATTTGTTTTAGATGGGGGATTGATTGGAGGGGTAAATAGTGCTCTGATTTATAGCATACTGCCTTAATGCCTTTCGAATTATCATGGCTTCAATCCCACCAATCACTAGTATGATATTCATAATTATATCTGTTTGTATTGACATATTATAATGACCTAACTTTAAATAAGTTATTTAATTAGGTAAGAGTAAATGATTGTATGTAAAAAAAATATAATCTAATAAAACTTGTAAACTCTATTTAATAATATTGAAAGAGTGAAAACAACAGTCTGTCATGTGACATAGGCCTCCTCCAAGTATTTCCATAGGGTTCGGTCTTTAATCTTAAATAATTAAATCTATACATATAAATAAAATTGGAGTGTCTGTTTGTAATATTGTAATAACCGTTTTTTACTACATGCATATGAATATAAATACGGTACATACACCAAAATAAGATTTTTTACAATTTTCTGCCTGTCTGTCTGTTCCGACCAATTTCTGAAATGGCTGGACTGGACTTTACTATACTTACCTAATATGTTAGACACTACAGATAACTAGATATCGCCATAATCTTACTGTGTAAATCTAAGTAGAACCGCACAACCGAGGGGTGAGTACTGGTCTACTGAGATACAGGCCTCGTGCCTAGTTCAGCTCCCAAGCTCATACCATCACAACATAATGTTTATAAAAAATGAATTTATTACCTGTACATATTTTGATTTAATAAAATTTATTATTTAGATTGCGGCTTAATAAAATTTATTATTATTATTATTAATTTATATTAGAATGGTGAGATTTTCAAACAACTCTAGTTATAAAATAATGTGGGCACAAACCTTTTTTGAAGTAATCATTGCCAAGTTCCTTCTCTTGTTCCGCTTTAACTGGATCTACATAGGCTTTCTTCTCTTCTTCCACTATCTTCTTCTCCACTTCACTGAGCAGTGTCTTGATCTCTGGCGTCCGGTGCTCAGACATGGACTTTTCGAAGTATGTTTTAGCTAGTTTCCATTGCTCCATCTTTTTGTATGCATTACCTGAAATCATTACATTCAATATCAATAAATTTGACTAAACTACAAATATAATCATTTTGACAAAATTACTATGTGAGTGAACCTTATTAAACAAAAGGAATTATTGAAATACAGTTGCCCAATGCCATATAATTAGGCAATGTCAGTTGAAGAGCAATTTTATTTTAACAAAAATAAATGATTATTAATTTATTATTATAGGAATATATATAGAAATTTTTTAAATGTTATAGGTATGACAAACAATCTGGTAAGCAGTTTTTTTTTCGGACTACTCTAATGCTGTTGGCCCCAGCTGGCCTTTACAGCTTCACTGGACGATAGGGGGCGAGTGCAGATGGCACTCCAAACCCGTGGAAGGACTTACGGAGCGGCTGAAGGCCAACTCCCGCCTCATGGATACGACTTTTGTCTGAGGGCACCACTAGGGGTTCGAACCTCGGCTCAGGCCGTGGTAATATCGATTGCCGTTGAGTTGGACGGGGGATCGATAGGAGGGGCGACCGGGGGCGCCGGTGTGGAGCGCTCAGGGCGCGCAGGCGCCCGGTTGAATGCGCGATATGAGGTGTGTGCCTACTGCACACAGTATAGTAAATCTTAATATTCAAATTTAATTTATTAACAGTGTATTACTACAATAAAACAGTAATATTATTAAAATCTAGACACGCGGCAGCGTGTCAAGCCGAGTTTCAAGTAAACTGGCTTGCAGCACCGTGTGTATATTTACACGAACCATTTGGAGCCACTTTTGACCCCCTCATAACTCAAAAACTCTTTCACACAAACCTGTCAAATTTGGTTCATATATTGAGACTTGCGAGATAAATATGTGTTCCAAATTTCATAAACATATCTCAAACGGTTATTTAGATATTAATTTCCAAAATCGTCATTTTTATCACTGATCACTATAGATCAAAATTATAACCCACTTCCAGATGACCTAGGAAGTTCAAATTTGGCATGCAGATAGGTAATTAGGTGAATATAAAGGAAAAAATCTGAAACTGGTAAATTGTTATCATTTTACTACAATTTTTCACTTTAATTGATTCTATTTCAACTTATACTGGACGAATACTAAAATTCTATGAAAACATCGATAGCCACCAATTGACATTGATCCCTGGCGAAATATCTCATCTTGTACTGGCCGGAAAGTAATATTGTATGAAAACGTCGATCATTACCAATTTACGTTGACCCCTTCACATCAGTGTCGATAACTAGCAAACTTCAAATATTGCATTGAGCGGTAAACACTAGTTGCTATAATTTAGATTCTGTCTAAAATATACTCGTACTTATAACTCGGACGAATTTCGTATTTATTATGTTATTAACTGAGATTTGGTATTAATTATTGTTTCAATATTTAGCGCACATCGATAGTGTAAAATCATTATTTTTATAAATAATTATTAAATAATAGGCATTTCGGTATAGGGCGCCGCGGTGGCGCCGTGTGGGAGCGGTGCGATAAAACTCAATGTTTTGTTTCTCGATATCTAACCTATAAGGTTGCGATTTATGCTACGAAATTCATAGTTTTCTTAAATTATACTTATATATTTGTGGTTATATTATTATTACATTATTTTAGTAAATACGTATGGTGTAGACAATAGTTTAAACCAAAAATTAATAATAATTTTAGTATAGTTATAAGTAGGAATGTATAGTTAACTCGAGAATGAGAACTCATTGGTAACAAATTGTTTTCTTGAGAATTCAATAGATAACAGTCAATTTGTTACATAATCGTCTTTGCGAACTATAACGTGTCAATACGAAGTTTCAGATATTAAATAATGTATATGTTGAAAGAGAACAATTCCGTATTTGCTTAACATATGCTATTACTATCCACAAATCACAAGGCCTTAGTTTTGGCAGTCCTCTTCTCAACATAGGCTCCTCTATATTTAATAAAGGGCAGGTTTACGTTGGACTCTCCAGAGTTAAAACCTTAGATGGAGTACGTCTTAACAATTTAGATCCAAGTCACGAGAGCTCTATTGTAGAGTACAACCATCTGTGGACGTTATACCCCGTTATGCCCCGATTTGCCCAAAAATTCCTGATACTGAATTGGCATTGCACTTGAACATTTAAAAGTTACAAGAAAATATAGAAAATAACACAAAAAAAAAAGACAATTATACCCCGTAAATATACGAAAATACAGTAATTTATCAAAAATAATTTGGTATTAATTTAGTTATAAATAAGTACCTCGTATAATTTATGTACAAAAAGTAATGATATCCCATCAAAAACATAAATGTGAAATGATAGCCGAGTTTCATATTATGATATATGCCTTGATTGTTGACTTCTACGACAAAAGAGATGAGATCTAAATGGGTGCCAAGTTCAATGGTCTATCCTGAAATGTATTTATAACAATATAAAATATCATTTCTTCTTATAACTTAGGATAATATACAGCCTAAGGTCTAACTTGCGCTAGTTTTCATATACGAAATATACTGTAGCCTTCGCAAGTTCTAAACATGTTACTTGTCGGTTCCTATTTTAATATTAGTAGTAACTAGCAATCGAAAGTAATAATTGGTATATGAGAACTGGCTAAGTTAGACCTTCTAAGTATATTATCCTTTATAAGAAGAAATGATATTTTATATTGTTATAAATACATTTCAGGATAGACCATTGAACTTGGCACCCATTTAGATCTCATCTCTTTTGTCGTAGAAGTCAAAATCAAGGCATATATTAATATGAAACTTATCATTTCACATTTATGTTTTTGATGGGATATCTTTTAACAACAACTCTGTTTACATAAAATAATAAATAAAATTGTTTTATTGTGATAATAATAATCTATTGAAACATTGACTCACCAATCCTAGTGAAAGCTTTCGCTATTAATTTAAAGTCTGCTCTGTTCTCTCTGCCAATTTCTATAGCTTTCTCGCATTCCTTAATACATTTCTCATACTCCTTCTGTTCAAAATAAACAGCGGCAATGTTTGTGTAAAACGTTATATCATTAGAATCATGTTCTATTGCCTTAGTATAGTGTTGTAGAGCATTCTCGAACTCTTTCTTCTTATAAAACTCATTTCCTTTGTCTTTCTCTTGTAATGCTAGTCTCCGGTTCTCTGGTAACTCTTCATATTTAGGTTTCGGGGGCTCCTCTGTATTTGGCGGTGGAGTTGCTTTCTTCTCCGGTGTTGGTGGGTCTATATCCATTGGTGTGGAGAAGTTCAAACCGAGCATCACCCCGATTGTGGTGCGTAATCGCTTGCTGTCCATTCGTGACTCAAATTTTTGTATGTCAAAAGGATTTAGGGCGAGTTCCTGTGGGATTCATAATTTATCAATATTTATTAATGTTATTAGACCTACAATGAGATTTTCCTGACAACATATGTCGGCTTAATAAGCATAGGCTACTGGAACCAGATGATTAATCAGGACCACCAAAAGAGACGATGATTCTGCTGGGATTCACTCTCTACCTGCGATGTAGCACCTACACCACATCTGTTCATAGTCTCTGACTGATTGCAGGATAGGCACAGAGAAAAAAACATACTCTAGGGATTTTTTTTTCTCTGTGTGTGTGTGTGTGAATGCAGTGACCGTTTTGTATATTCCTTTATCCATATTTAATATAGAAGTATTCTTTATACACATCTATCATTATATGATATATACTATAGTAAATGTCTAAAAGCATATATCTTCAATCATTTAGTATACTATATTTCAAATACATAAAACTAAATTAGACAAATTGATCACTCTTATGCATAAGTAACTGATTTAGTGTTTAGATAGTGTGTAAATGATAATAACTAATGACTGGTCAATGAAACTAGGTTCTACAACATACTGACTTACATAATGTGTGAGTTTCAGCTGATTTATAACCAATCCTGTATTTAAGTTTACAATATAACTAGTGGCTCATTGTTTTACATCAAGTATACTTAAGTAAAGTAATATATGTAAAGATTACAGTGGTACAAATACTTTAACTTAACAGAAATACTAGTCCTCTGCCTACTTTTCTACTTAAAACGAAGTGAAATTAATCTATTTAGAATATTTAATAATACACGAAATTGTTCGTGAAATCCCATTATAAAAGTGTTATATGCATGTTCAATAAAATATTTTATATGATTACACTGTAAATTCAATATTTATTACATATAATTCAATAAAAAACCACTAATGCTACTACAATTTGACAACATTCATTTAAATAAAGAATCAAAATAAAACTTACCTGAACTTGTTTCAAATATTCCGGATCATTCATCCATTCTCTAGTCTGTGGATTGGAACGTAACTTTTCTAAGAATGCCTGTGAATTCATTATATCTTCCTCTGCTTGTTTTCTCACTTCGGCCAACCCTGAAGCCAGCTGCTGGTTGGTCGGCTCGAGTTCTAGACCTTTCTCATAAGCCGCTATTGCCTCTTCATATCTACCTAAATACGCTAACGCACTGCCTTTTCTTGAGTAACCTTTACTCCATGTAGGGTTTATCGACACTGTTTTATTGGCGTCTTCAAGTGCCGCTATGTAGTCTCCAGCCTTAGCGTGAGCAGCAGAACGATTACTAAACAAAACGTGGTTATTAGGATCCAATGCAATTGCTTCCGTGTAACATTTTCCTGCCTCTGAATAGTTTCCTGACGACAATGCCGCGTTACCTCGCTCCTTTAACTGATTCACCTAAAAAAAAATATGAACTCACAGTTTGATATTTCATACAAAAATCCATTGTTAACCCAGCGTCGGTATAACCTCTTACCAGTTCCATGATTCACTTTTAAACAAATAATTATGTATAGGCACGTGGTTGATAAAAACAAGTAATATTTAAATTTGTATGAGTTTCTTTGTATTTTGAGTTAATACTTTAGGAAACGATTTCACTAAGGAACACAAATGGGTGAGAACGAACGTATAACAAATAATGAATGACACTTCAAATTCGAGAAATTTCTAGTTTCTTGTCGAACACCAGTGTTGTCATAAAAAATTGAAAATTACCTGAATGTTACACATGGAAACTATTTTTTGTTGTGAATGGTGGTGGAATGGTGCACCCCCCTTCGCTAACGATAGAGGTTGTTTGTGGTAGGATGAGAATGAAGTCAGGTAAATTAGTTTATAGTTCACCATGACACGATGGTTTCAAGAAGGGACCGCGTGGAAATCAAGGTAGCATGATACATTGCTGCATTGAGAGCGACAGTCCTTGATTCCACCAATTTTTGCCTTCGATTAATTACTCATATTTTCTTACCTTACTTTTCCAAAATTACATTTAGAAATTTATTCAATAGTTAATTATGTATATTTAATTTCTTTAGAATCTAGTTGTACCTATTATTAAAATACATAAATAATGTACATAATGACGAACGGGCTGTAGAGCCTGTGAATGAAGATTCACATTATAGAACGTAATGAAAACGTGTACTTATTCATTGTTTATTATAGAAAACACACAACATTACTCATGCATTAATCATACAAAAATAGGGAAAACTCCCGTTAAATCGGGAGCTCTGGTAAGACAAGGGAAAACCAAATTATTTTTATATCACAATTAAATAAAACTAATGGAAATAAGTATAAAAAAAAACGCCTAATATAATTTCCTAGGAAAATATATTTCATTCTTTTGTTCAATATCTTTCTTTTTTCTTGCTCCGGAAATATGTGGAAATGAAATTTATCAATATTTTAAAAATACTTCATGACTTTTGTGTATACAGCAACCCCGAAATATTAATTATCTGTAAAAAAAGTATTTTAACTCTGTTCTCCCGAAAATGTGGCCACTATTATTACAACTCCCAATTTTACGAGAGTTATTTGTAATGCAGAACATAGACATTGTTTCCTAAAAAAGGCATATGGGGAAACAAAATTTTATAAGAGTTTTTAAATTAGTTGTGGTGTGTAGTTGTGTGTACAAAATAATTATACGTAATAATACTTTAATTGTTTCATCTCAAGATAATATTGCTACTTTTCCTATTCTTTTAAAAACTGTGTACTCTGTGTCTGTCATCTGACAACACTATGGCTGTCTGTGATTTTGTGCTGCTTGTCGTTCTTTTTGTAAATCTGTAAACTGCTTTGTAGTTTGACAAGTATTTTATTTGATTTTAATCTTTCAATAGTTTTTCTGTGGAATAACCATACAAAATATTTTAACTGGCTAAGACATTGATGTGTATTTGTGAAATAAATAGGAACAAATAATCTCCTGTTTCCCGTGTCAGCTTTCTGGGCATTTTGTATTTGCGAAGCGGATGAACGCTTGTGTCACGCTAATAGCTATATTGCAGTCATAATTGTAGTCGTGGGGAATACCAAGTGTTGGTTGTGACTTGTGATCGATGGCTAATTGAAGACTTCCGCGGCGTGGTAATTGGCGGGGTGCTGATTCCCGCTACTGGTGACTCATACCCAGAATCTGTAACCATGGACACGGACGATGGCGAATCCTCGAGTAGCGGACCTATGTCCAGTTTGAACAGCTTGTTTTCATTTACAAGTCCCGCCGTGAAGAAGCTGCTGGGATGGAAACAGGTTAGTTTTTTTAATATAATATAATCTACACCTTTATTTGTAAACAGAGCCGAACAGAGTAGATAACAAGGTTTTCTCTGAAGAAATTTATCAGTATATTATAATCTGTTTATAATTATAGTATTTTTATGATATATATTTATTAAAATAGAATAAAATAGTATTACTACTGAGTGGCAGGATTCTTCAAAGGAGTGATCGATGATAATTATAGATAAACTATGAGAATCAGTATATATTACACTAACTTTCATAATTGTAATATTAATTAACAATATTTTTTTTAATGGATGATAATGGAATAGTGCCTCCACTGTGCTAATCATTAACGCTGCCGGGGCACCAGTGGAGGATAATAAGATGAGCTTAATGACATCTTACATATTGTAAACTATATTTTAAACTAGCTGTACATACAACTTCATCCATATGGATGTTTAATTTTATATTTCTAAAAAAAAAGAATTTTTCAAAAATGAAGGTATCTAAGCTACTCCTTATTACATCAGCTACCTGCCAATGAAAGACCCGTTAAAATTGATCCAGCCATTTCATAGATTAGCCGGAACAAACAGACAGACAGACAGACCAACAGAAATTGTAAAAATTGTTATTTTTGTGTGTATGTACCGTATTTATATTTGTATGGATGTAGTAAAAAACGGTTATTCCAATATTTCAAACAAACACTCCAATTTTATTTATATGTATAGATTAAAATTCATTCAGTAGTTGCCTGAAAGAGTAACATACATCCAGACACTCTCACCAACTACCACATTTTTATTATTAATAAGATTTTTGTGATGATTCTGCATTAGAAATGAGTTGTAGAATTAAAAAAATAAGTTATGTGATTATTAAAATTGCTCATATTAAGTTTATTTGAATACTTAACACTTATTTCTATTTGTATGTACCAATGCTTTTGTCTACTTACTAATATTTTTTACTCACTAAGTGTGATTCTATTGTATAAGCTATATTACTGTAAAGTTTCATCAAAATCCATTTAGTACTTTTGTGTGAAAGAGTAACAAACATCCATCCTTACTCACAAACTTTTGCATTTATAATATTAATTAGATATTAAGTAGTAAAAAGAATTATCATTTAATTATTTATAATGTAATAAAATGTATTTGATAGTATTCTTAATATAAATAATATTTCAATATTAAATATTTATCACACAAAATTATATGATAAATGTAAGATATGAACAAAGTCAGTACCTACCTAGTAATAAACAATCTACTAAGGCAGTAGAGGGACTGATTAAACGGTAAGGATAATTATTTAAATTATTTTTGATAATATACAATTCATGTTGATACCTATAATTAGTAAAAATCACAGGATCTTACCACGGGTAGACAGTTTACCTGTGATCCTGGCAGGTGGAACACTGCCGAAATATCGGGAACTCAATAAATATAAAACATGGTAAGATCTCATGATTTTTACTAATTATATAATAATCTTAGAATAGAAGACCCAAGTAGCTAAAAGCTTGTGTTAGAAGATAACTGATACAAATACATAGATATTTTTTTTTTTGTAAATACATACATATTATATATGGAAAACTTCACATTACAAATGTTTGTGCCGTGCGAAGCATTTAGAATAGAATGAAAATCATTTATTCAAATAAACTCATAAGCATTTTGAATTTTCATAACATTTTTTTTTAATCTACCGCTCATTAGGAATGCTGTCTCATCACAAGAAGAACAAGCAAGAAACTTGTGTGTTGCTCTTTTAAATAATTTATTCTTACTTACAATTTAAGTTTAAGCGTGTATATCTGTTTTATATGTATAAATAATGACCGCATCTAATTTAAAACAAAAAAACATGTTGAAGTAACTAACATATGGAGGCAGAGGCTTTCACGGACTTTTTGGAGGACTAAATGTAGATAATGCTTTTTTTATATGTTATATATAATAAAAATATTAATAATAATCTTAGGACAATTCACATAGCGCCATCTAGACCCAAGTTAAGCTAGCTAAAGCTTGTGTTATGGGTACTAGACAACTGATACAAATACACATACAGATATTTACAATATATATAATACTCATGAATAGAAATGTTTGTGCCGTGCGAGGAATCGAACCCGCGACTATCGGACGTAAAGCGGTGTGCTAGACCGCTATACCACCGAGGTCGTCAACTATGTCTCTATGTTTGTTATTTTGATTGACGTGAACCTATAGTTGTCATACATGTCATTTTTTTTATTAAATTGGTATTAAATACATATGTAATGAACTGCCATACATGGTCTCCGTACACGCTGTTTATGGGAAGCCTTATATGTCGTATGTATAAATTAAATTATTCATTAATAATATTGATATTAAAAGGAATAAACAAGTGAAGTGTAAGTTGTAATGAGAATTTATCATTTTTAAGAAATTATCTATCTCACAAAATATCATTAATTTTCTAAAATAAAAGATTTTGTTTTAAATAAAATTAGCCTAACTTACTCCTTATTACATCAGCTACCTGCCAAAAGAAGTCCCGTCAAAATCGGTCCAGCCATTTCAGAGATTAGCCGGAACAAACAGACAGACAGACAAAAATAGTAAAAAATGTTATTTTGGTGTATACCGTGTTTATATTCATATGCATGTAGTAAAATACGGTTATTTTAATATAACAAACAGACAATATATTTATATGTACAGATGTACATAGATAATGTAAAATCGTGTCAGCCAGCGGCCCAAATGTAGGGAGTCCTGTACTGCCCTATTTTATGTTCATTCATAAAATAACTAATGATTCAAATGACTCATTCATAATTATCTTAAATCAGGCTCCAAACCGAAATCAGTACTGAAACAATGAACATATACATAAAATTGGAGTGTCTATAGCCGCATATGAACGCCAAATTTTTTACATTATAATTTTATTTTTTTCCCTACCATCCTACTATACTATAACACACATGTATTATACACATAAACTTGCCTCTTGAATCACTCTATCTATTGCTGAAAACTGCATTAAAATCCATTGCGTAATCTATACAAATAAATAAATTGGAGTGTCTGTTTGTAATATTGAAATAACCCTATTTTACTACATAGCATATGAATATAAATACGGTATATACACCAAAATAACATTTTTTACAATTTTTGTCTGTCTGTCTGTTTGTTCCGGCTGATCTCTGAAATGCCTGGACCGATTTCGCCGGGACTTTTTTTGGCAGGTAGCTGATTGTAATAAGGAATAACTTAGGCTACTTTTATTTTAGAAAAATAAAGCTAAATTCCACGCGGTCGAAGTAGAATAGAATAGAAAAGAAAATCATTTATTCAAATAAACTTAATTTAAGCACTTTTGAATAGTCATAACAATTTGTTTTTTATCTACCAATCGTTCGGAAAGCTGTCTCATCACAAGAAGAACGAGCAAGAAACTTGTGTGTTGCTCTTTGAAGTCGCGGGTTCAGCTAGTTATATTATAAAATACACTCTAAATGTGTATCTACGTCTGTCTATTCGTCGATCCCCCGACCAATTCAAACGGGAATCGATATTACGACGGCCGGAGCCGAGGTTCGAACCCCTAGCGGTGCCCTCAGACTAAAGTCGTATCCGTCAGGCGGGAGTTGGCCTTCAGCCGCTCTATAAGTCCTTCCGCAGATTTAGAGTGCCATCTGCACTCGCCCCCTATCGTCCGGTGAAGCTGTAAAGGCCAGCTGCGGCCAACAGCATTAGAGTAGCCCGAAAAAAAAAACAATTCATCGCGTTTGTCAGGTAATGCACGACATGTAAATGAAAATCGCATTCTCATTTGATGACTCATGCATAGTTCAGGCCCCCTATCGTCTGGTGAAGCTGTAAAGGCCAGCTGCGGCCAACAGCATTAGAGGAGTAAAAAAAAACTATTCATCGCGTTTATCAGGTAATGCACGACATGTTAATGAAAATCGCATTTTCTTTCAACGTGTCTCATTTGATGACTCATGCATAGTTCAGGCCCCCTATCGTCTGGTGAAGCTGTAAAGGCCAGCTGCGGCCAACAGCATTAGAGGAGTAAAAAAAAAAACTATTCATCGCGTTTATCAGGTAATGCACGACATGTTAATGAAAATCGCATTTTCTTTCAACGTGTCTCGTTTGATGACTCATGCATAGTTCAGGCCCCCTATCGTCTGGTGAAGCTGTAAAGGCCAGCTGCGTCCAACAGCATTAGAGTAGTCCGAAAAAAAAATTATTCATCGAGTGTATCAGGTAATGCACGACATGATAATGAAAATCGCATTTTCTTTCAACGTGTCTCGTTTGATAACTCATGCATAGTTCAGACGTTACCGTAAATCAGGATCCAAACCGAAATCAGTACAATTTGCAGCAGTGAACAATTTTTTTATGAATCAACATTCCTGGAAATACCAACACCTGACTCACACATTGGGAGTAAATAAAATTAGTATAGTTATAAATATATCTTATAGTCATGTTGTAATGATGGATTCATATTTGTAGCTTCAGTTTTAGGGTAAACAACTTATTTGACCTCGATGGTCTAGCGGTTTAGTACACCGGTTTACCGGTCGCGGGTTCGATTCCTCGCACGATGCAAACAATGAATGAGTATGTTTGTTTGTATCGGCCTGGGTGTTTTTTATTATGTATGTATAATATTTAAAAAATATATCTAAGTATTTATATCAGTTGTCTAGTAGCCACAATACAATGTCTGTTTAGCTTAGGACTAGATGGTCTAGCGGTTTAGTACACCGGTTTACCGGTCGCGGCTTCGAATCCACTTATTTGACTTCGATGGTCTAGCGGTTTAGTACACCGGTTTACCGGTCGCGGGTTCGATTCCTCGCACGATGCATACATTCATGAGTATGATTGTTTGTATCGGCCTGGGTATTTTCTATGTATATTATGTATGTGTTTAAAAAATGTTTAAGTATTTATATGAGTTGTCTTGTCTAGTAGCCATAATGCAATGTCTGTTTAGCTTAGGACTAGATGGCGCTGTGTGAATTGTCCTGAGATTTATTAGTATTATTTCTATACATATAGGTGTAGGTTTAACAAAACTAAAATATATTTTCGTCACATTTAAAGAAAAATGAACTTTATGTCCTGCTTGTAAAAACGGAAATACGGAAAAAAATTCGCGCCATTTTTCCTCAAACTCAATAACATTCATACCGTTTTTATAAATATAAATATTTCGCAAACTTTTGACTGTTACGACCTCCATATTCAGTTTATGTTATCGTTATATAGTAGTATTAGTTATATAACTATACCCAGGGCCGGATTAACGATTAGCAGAATAGACTACTGCCGAAGGGCCCCGAATAGACTAGACACCCTGCTGGCGCACGGAGAAAGGACCACATTATTTTGTAGATTCGAAATTTGAAATTAAATATAAATTGAAAATTTGAAACTGCAATGACATAAATTTTATTAGTTACTAGCTACTCGCCCCGGCTTCGCACGGGTGTACATGTATTATACATATAAACCTTCATCTTGAATCACTCTATATATTCAAATAAACTTACATTGACGCGGTTTTGAATAGTCAACACCATCATCATCATCGCAGCCCGGAAGACGTCCACTGCCGGACATAGGCCTCCCCCAAAGATCTCCACGACGATCGGTCCTGCGCTACTCGCATCCAATGCCTTCCAGCGATCTTGACCAGATCGTCGGTCCACCTTGCTGGAGGCCTTCCCACGCTGCGTCTTCCGGTCCGTGGTCACCACTCGAGAACTTTAATAGTCAACACATTTCTTTTTAAATCTACCGCTTATTATGAAAGCTGTCTCATCACAAGAAGAATGAGCCAGAAACTTGTATTCTAATGTTAATATATCTTTATCACACTATTATTATAAACGCGAAAGTTTGTTTGATGGATAGATGGACGGACGGGTGTTTGTTACTCTTTCACGCAAAATTATTGGACGAATTTTGATGAAATTTACTATAATATAGCTTATACATCAGAATAATACAGAGACTATAAATATGGGTGAAACAGAGGGCGCTGTTAGTTTACTATAACTTTATTCGTGTTAAGACCCGGTTAACAATATAAATAATGAATCTTATTGATTTTTAATGATACACTCTGTTGATGTTTATAAAATACTTAAACAAACAGCTAGTGTTGAGTAGTAGAACTATAATTGGATTGCATACGTAACGTATTTAAGTTATAAAACTTTTTTATCTTTACTCGCATCTAAAATCACTTCAAAAGGCTAATATAATTTTGAAATAAAATACCATTCAATACTTTTTTTAAACAGAACCCCAGTCTTCCTTTTCCTATGGGCCCGACATGCTCAATCCGGCCCTGACTATACCCAATGCCCATTCATGTACGTCGTGCTATTTAAACTGCACTTTAGATAAGTCACTTTATCTAACACAAATAAACAAATATACAAATAAAAAACAAATCTTCCATCTTTATAATACTTTTTGTAATGGCCTATGGACTATGACATAAGCATAAAATCAGTTAGCCCATCGTGTCTAATCACCTAGTATTAAGTACTATGGTTTTCATGGTGAATAGCGTGGATGGCAACCTGACATGAAACATTGTTAGCAATGGGACCTCTAAGTCCCGTTTATTTTATGTATGATAATGAAATGATAAAGAATTGCGACTTTGAAGTGGCAATGGGCAGGGCACATAGCTCGTAGGACAGATGGCCGTTGGGGCAGTAAAGTCCTCGAGTGGCGACCACGGACCGGAAGACGTAGCGTGGGAAGGCCTCCAGCAAGGTGGACCGACGATCTGGTCAAGATCGCTGAAGGCATTGGATGCGAGCAGCGCAGGACCGATCGTCGTGGAGATCTTTGGGGGAGGCCTATGTCCAGCAGTGGACGTCTTCCGGGCTGCGATGATGATGATGATGAATGAAATGGTGCTCTCGCCTGCGCTGACGGTTTACTGGTGTGGCACTAGTGGAGGAATAAATGAACACGAGGTCAGGTCATTTAGCCCATCGTGATAAAACTACCCAGGAATTTATCTCAATGGTTTCCTGGGAGGTCAACATGACATGGTACACAGTGGGGTCAACAGTCTCCTTCTCCCTAGTTCCCGTTATTAACAACCCCTATCCCTCTTTATAATATTAGTAAAAATAACATTTTGTAAGACTCATTTGTTATTATACTATTTCTTCAGGGTGACGAAGAAGAGAAATGGGCGGAGAAGGCAGTAGACAGTCTGGTGAAGAAGCTCAAGAAGCGGAAAGGCGCTATCGAGGAGTTGGAGAGGGCGCTGTCTTGTCCGGGGACGCCGTCAAAATGCGTCACCATACCCAGGTCACTTGACGGGAGATTACAGGTACATACAGCAGTAATTTTGTAATTTTTTCATGGATGATAATGGAATGCTGCCCCCGCCTGCGCTAACGGTTTACGCGGGCGGTGCACCAGTGCAAGATGATAAGATGAACATGAAGTCAGATCAGTTAGCATCTTGGCAAATGACAATTTACCACGATGGTTCCAGGGCGTACCGCATCGAGGTCGACCTGACCAATAGAAGGTCCTAGTTCTCTCTTCTATATGACTTATTCAGTCATTAATCTTATATGAGGTTTTTCTATTGTATTGAAGAGCATAATTCCCATTAATTTCTCGATAATCTTTACATAGTATATAACGAAGTCGCTTTTGCTATCTGTTCGCTTAGATCTTTTAAACTACGCAACAGATTTTAATGCAGGTTGTAGCAATAGATAGAGTGATTCAAGAGGAAGGTTTATAACTAGCTGTGCCCACGACTTAGTTCGTGTAACACACGCAACGGAAGCCTCTAGAAGAAATAATTTTCTCCGTTGTTGCAACATTTTTCACTAATGCTTTGCTATTATTGGTCGTAGCGTAATGTTATATAGCTTAATACCTTCGACAAATGGACTATCCAACACAAAAATAATTTTTCAATTCGAACCAGTAGTTCCTGAGATTAGCGCGTTCAAACAAACAAACAAATTCTTCAGTTTTATAATATTAGTATAGATACAGGCATGTTATGGTATAAAACAAGCCGCGAATTTAAAGATGTAATGCATCAGTGTGAAGCCGGGACGGGTCGTTAGTCTTTGTATGTAAAAATTACGTGTGACATTGTTTGACCACGATGGACTCCTAAACTACTGAACCGATTAAAAATATGATTTGCACATTGTGTGCAATTTGATCCAACTTGAAAGATATGACAGCCTACATCTCAATTTATAATCGCAATATTTTTTTATTCAAGAACCTTAGCCACAACAACTCGTGGCCGGGTCTGTTAGTCTATACATCTATACTCTATAGGTATAAATAAAATTGGAGTGTCTGTTTGTAATATTGAAATAGCCGTTTTTTACTACATGCATATGAATCTACGGTATATACACCAAAATAACATTTTTTACAAATTTTAACTGTCTGTCTGTTTGTTAGTTCTGGCTAATCTCTGAAATGACTGGACCGATTTCGACGAGACTTTTTTTGGCAGGTAGCTGATGTAACGTAAATAAGGAGTAACTTAAACTACTTTTATTTAAAAAAAAATAACGTGAAATTCCACGCGGACGAAGTCGCCGGTACAGCTAGTTATATTATAAAATACACTCTAAATGTGTCTGTCTATTCATCGCGTTTATCAAGTAATGCACGACATATTAATGAAAATCGCATTTTCTTTCAACGTGTCTCGTTTGATACGGTCACGCAGGCAGAAAGGCGCGTGGTTACTTCCTGCTTTATTGTTATGTATATAAATAGAACAGGTGTCTGTTTGTTTATGCAACGTATGTGTTGTTATTGTAAGTGGTATTACGTTATATCTTATAACGATTTCGAAAATCAATGCTCGCTTTGTGACTTTATTTTGAATGTTTTTAAAAGTAGATAGAACTTATATATGCTGTCCCAGAACTCAACATCAAGTCGAAACGGGGTGACATGATTGATTTTAACCATCATGAGAAAAATCAGGAAAAAATCTATCCCATGCAGTTTGAAAATTATGGGCATTTAAGAAAAACCTAGAAATTTGGTCAAACTAACCATTTTTCAGTTATTGTGGTTAATTTTTATTGTTTCGTTCATTTAAACTTTGGAACCGTAACCCTAAGTAACATTTCCAGAACCACAGTCAAAGATAATGACACAATTGCCCCAAGTTTTCTAGAATTAAGACTATTTGTTAACTAACTGTGAATTTAAAATTTTCAAAATTTGTCGCATTTGAATTGGCCCTACTTTTAAAAAAATACTAAATTGCCAATTTATTCCAATAAACCTAAACTAAACATCATAATATACATAAAGATCATAAATACACTTAAACATGTTGGTCAGATTCGCACTCACAACCTTTGGGTTTTCGACTACTAAGTCATGAAAATATATTTTCATAAGATTCATGTTACGTTTCAGGTATCTCACCGCAAAGGTCTCCCTCACGTCATATATTGCCGTGTGTGGCGCTGGCCAGACCTTCAGAGTCATCACGAGCTGAAACCACTCGAAATCTGCCAGTACCCGTTCAGCGCGAAGCAAAAGGAAGTATGCATTAACCCTTATCATTACAAGCGAGTCGAGAGCCCCGTTTTACCCCCAGTATTGGTGCCGAGACATTCCGAATTTCCCCCCGGCCATTCCCTCCTACCGTTTCAAAGGACGACCGAACCGGCGATGCCACACAACGTGTCGTACTCGGGCTCCGGTTTCCCCCCTTCCGCGAGCTCCGAGTTGCCAGACACGCCTCCTCCAGCGTACTCGCCCCCCTCGGACGACATCGAACCCCCTGGCGAGGTCGCACCGGTTTCGTACCAGGAACCTTTGTATTGGGCGTCGGTGGCGTACTACGAGCTGAACTGCAGGGTCGGGGAGGTGTTCCATTGTAACACACACTCAGTAGTAGTGGACGGGTTCACAAATCCTTCGAACAACAGCGACAGGTTCTGCCTAGGACAGCTTAGTAACGTGAACAGAAATTCCACGATCGAAAATACGAGACGTCACATAGGCAGAGGCGTTCACCTGTATTACGTAGGCGGGGAAGTCTACGCCGAGTGTCTCTCGGACGCGGCCATCTTCGTCCAGAGCCGTAACTGCAACCACCACCACGGTTTCCACCCGTCCACAGTGTGCAAGATCCCACCGGGGTGCTCGCTGAAGATATTCAACAACAGGGAATTCGCGCAACTGCTCTCCCAAAGCGTGAACCATGGTTTCGAAGCGGTGTACGAGTTGACGAAAATGTGCACGATCCGGATGTCGTTCGTGAAAGGCTGGGGGGCGGAGTACCACCGGCAGGATGTGACGTCGACCCCCTGCTGGATCGAAGTGCATCTGCACGGACCGCTGCAGTGGCTGGACAAAGTCCTAACGCAGATGGGGTCTCCGCACAACGCTATATCGTCAGTCTCTTAGCCGCGTCAAAACTCGATGTACCCCACCGTACTTTTTACCTCCAAAAATGTATTACCGAAATTTAATCTCAATTCTGTTAATTGCACGTTTCTTTTACAATGAGGTTATAATTGACTGCTGGTAACTTGTATTGCTAGATGCGGCCTCTTGGTTTTTTAATTTTATTTATCTTATTAATCGGGTCTTAACACGAATAATTTTATGATAAATAAAGGTACCTGTTTCGATGTTTCGATTAGGTTGCACTAGCCGTGGTCACGAGCTGACTGAAGTATACGATGCCAGTATCAGTAGGTGCCAACAGTTTTTTCAACTACCGTCACTGGATTGTCTAACGAAATATCGCCACAAAACACTCATGGTATCCGTACAGTTGACTGTTGATGCTACTGAATTGTATTTATTTATGACTAAACCAACCTCTCGGTTGAATACCTTTATTTACCATAAAATTTTCGATACTTCGGCGACCAGACCACTCTGAACCGAACAGTCAACACTAGGCTTCCAAGCTATATCCGAACTCTATTCAATGTCTGATGCCTCGTTCAGAGGCGAAACAAGTGTCGCAATATGGGTGTAGATTCAATAACGGTCGGAATTTTATCACCATTAGAGAAGGTCTACCGTTACAGTCAAGTTTCCGCACTGAATATTTGTGATCACGCATGCTAATTTTAGCGGAATTAAACAAAATAGTATAAATCCATTAAGGAGCGAAATTGTTGTATAAATATGTAATAAAACTATTAATGACTGAAAATTGTATTTTGTTATATATATATGTTTTGATTACAAAAAACTGAATAAAATAACACCCATACCATTAATTTGCGATTAAATATATAAAACGACACTAAATAAAATAACATCGATTAACAATATAAATAATGTATAGTAAATATGAGTTTTTATTATTTGACCCAATAGAAGAATCGGCTTTTGATTCGCGATGTTGCTGCTCAAAATAATGGACAAGTTACAAAAAATTAATGATAAAGACATAATTAAGGATTATATTGTATTACTCATAATGTTTATGACAAGGTAAACGATATTATTGGTGTAAATAGAACTTTCTAAATATTCGTACATTTGTGTTTTAACAATTACGTTTTAGTCCAGACGACAAGGCACAAAATTGTCAAAAAGATTGTTTCAATTCAGTGAAAATTGATATTAATGGACACACAAATATTACTGTTATTTTATATATAGATATTACGTAGACTGTAGACTGTAAGCGTAGTTTTCAGGAATGCAATTCGTTTTAACTAACATTAATTAGTGTTGTAGCTCCTTTGCTAATATTGAATGTTAAATTTAAAAAATAATTTTATTTAGTCGATGTTTTGAATTGAATTTTTTTTTTTTAATTATACTGTATATTTCTATACTTTTAAATGTTATGGCCGTAAAAAAGTGTAGGGTGTGGTAACCTACAGCATATAGGTTCTATTCTATGCATCTCATTTGTTAGGGATGTTTTATTTTTGAAGAACTGGCCATTTTTTGCAGAAATGGTTTCCATAAGACCTCAAGTAAATAAAAAAGAGGTTTATGTAATTGAACTAAATTCGATAATTGAATAATTTTAAATTCCCAACAACAAAGTTGCGTTTTATTTGAGAAAAACTGGCTAATTTTTGCAGAAACGGTTTCCATAAGACCGCAAGTAAATAAAAAAGAACTTTATGTAATAGAACTAAATTCGATAATTGAATAATAAATTGCCAACAACAAATTTGCGAGAACAGGTAGTGTAAAATTATATATTTTGGAATCAAAAGTGTAATGTTAATTTTTTTTTTTCAGAAATTATATTCTTTTTGTGTCTGTATATAAGATTAGGTGGAGCTACAAGGCTTTTGGGTAGCACTAAGGTATATTATGTGTTCTTTTATATATTATAGTTATTACAGTTTGTGCGTACTCTATTTTTATTAGGATTTAAGAAAATTATACGAGTTATTTCACCAAATGACAGTGAAGCCAAATCTACTAATGCCTTACGATACACTCTGATTGTCACATGTAATTGGTAATTCGAAATTCCTATAATCTTAGAGAAAATATAATTATTTTTTAATTATATGTATATGTAACATTTTGTCTATGCCATAATTTAATGTCATAATTAATATACAGTTATAAAAATCGTCATTGTCATTTGGTACATAATTATGGTGTTATGAAAATCGTGCCATCATAAGAATATATTTAGGTATTTTTGTTTTTGTAAAAAGTTGAAAAAAAAAACATTGCATTTGTCTATAGGGTTAAAGAAGAAAGTTTCGGTACTAATAAACTTGAATATAAAAAACGTGTACGATATTGAGTAGTCGTTATTTTTAAATGTAAAATTAGAATCAAGCTTGTTTCTTCGCTCGTAATTTAAAGTTGAACCAAAACGGGACATAGTGCAGGATAAAAGATGCAACTGATCTCAGAATAATGATTAAGAAGCTTTAGTTCCTCAGCGAGAGACTGTAACGTGTCCCATTGCCTTATATTAGTGCAATTTATAATATATATTACAGTAAACGTATATTTTTACAAATATAACAAGTTTACAACTTACAAAATAATTAAAACATTAAAATTCAAAATAAACTTATTCATATAGGTCTATTACAGACACTTGTCTACTCTACGATCTACACATGTGGTAGTGTAATGGGTAATATAGCCAGAAAATTATAATGTATTTAGAAATATATATATGACATTTATTTTTTTAATCGGGTCTTAACAAGAATAATTTTATGGTACTTAACTCGACGTTTCGACTAAGTTTTTATGGATGATAATGGAATGATGCACCCGTCTACGCTAACGGTTTACCCTGGCGGGCACTAGTGAAGGATGATAAGATGAGCATGAACTTGAAAATCTTGAAAATTCTCCAAGAATTTGTCAAGATGGTTTCCAGGGGGAACTGTGTGGAAGTCAACCTGACATAGTAAATAGCAATGGGGTCAACAGACCACATTACTAACAATCCACTGATAAGTTACCATTGTGACTGACTGGAGTCAGCTCGAGACGTCTAGCCGTTATTTACCATAAAATTATATAGTTACTTTGTTAAGACCCGGTTTACAATATGAATGATGTGTAATGAACACGAAAGTTTAAAAATATATATGAAATATTTCATAAAATATACATTTTGAAATCGCCTTTAAATATATGGATAATAAGATCGATAATCCAACGACCATATTAAAATTCTAGTTCACTCACGCTCAGCGTCTTTGTGGTTGTAATGCGAAATAAGATATCCTTTCAATGGTCAATCGCTTACATCAAAAACCTATGTATTAAGATTTTAATACATACTTTACTATCAACTTTCGTTAGTAAATCCTAAAACAATATAATTCATTTAAAATGTCTTATACACTGTACAATATAACTAGTGTAGTGATGTGTTCCGTTTCACACAAACATATTTTTAATACATTCTTTAAAATATTTAATTATTTCACATTGCGATAAAATTTATATCGAAAACCTATGTATTGAGATTTTAATATACAGGTTTACGGTTAAGTTTTCGTGTCTGCAAATATATCGTAAAATATAATTTATTTAAAGTGACTTTCAATATTAGGATTACTGATGCGTTCCGTTTCACACAAAAAATATCGGAAATAATTCTTTTAAAATATTAAATAATTTTACAATGCGATTACATTAGTGATACGTTCCGTTACATACTAAAATTATAAAAACTGATTATGATAAATTTTTGGTATACATACTTGTCAATATTCAATGACAAGCAAATTATATACACATAAAAGCAGTTTTACTATCTGCAGGCCTGTTAGGATGTGCCTATATATATTTACCGTCCAACTGTAGTTTGTGTATTTGTTTCGAGAACATTCGATTCGATAAGATGGCGAATAGCAATGGAAATAAATCGGTGATTTGATGTCTATATTGTTGGTATATATACGTACAATTAGGAAAAATCAAATGAAGACACTGTGAGTATAGTTATATATCGAGCGTGTTTCATTAGTAACAACAAACGATGACATGTGAAAGTAGACGAATATGTCTGCCCGTACAATATTTTATTTACCATCTACCTGCTGCTTTTCAATTTAGCTGTGATAATGGCGATTATAACACAAATCCAGTGATTTTTCCTAATTGTACGTATAAATAAAATGAGGAATTGATGGAGTTTTGGATATCGAAGTCGGAACAAAAACATAGTATAATGTCAGAGTAAATTCATATTTGTAATATTAATATTGTATACATTATATAAATGGGATTTTTACCGAGATGATATTGTTATTTAATGATATACCGATATTTCTATGGTACAAGAAATTCTGTTCAAATTCCGACCCGTCAAGGAGCTCATAAATATTAGATATATAATACGTGAAGCAAAATCTTTGTAGGTACCCCATTTTACGAATCGCGCGGACGAAGTGTATGAAATTTTGCACACTTATAGTTTATATATAGAAGGAGTGCAGAACGCTAATATTTTTTAAATATATAATTAAATCATAAAAATACATTAAATCAATAAAAATAAAACGTTACCCATACATGGTGGTGTGTGTAACGTTTTTTGTTATTGATTTCATGTATTTTTTATGTTAAATATTAACAATAAACAAAAGAGTGTCTGTCAAAGACACATTTTTTTTATACAGAAGACCAATTGTTTGTATACACACTTTCGTTTATTATTAAAGTCTATGGACAAATAGAGAACAGATTAATAATGATTGTCTTTACTATTAATTGTCTGTAGTCTTTCTGAATGTAATTAATGAACTTATGTTGTGCCTCGATTTTTCGAGAGTAGTGGGGCACAAGATGGCGGCCTATGAACGGTGACTCATGCAAAATCGGCATTATACGAGTACCCCGCGAACGGTACGGACGTGTTGAGAACAGGTCTGTAATACTGTGAATTTAATTTTATTCATTAATTTAATTATGCTCGAATTTCAATAATTTAGCAACCTATAGTCTCGGTAATTATCCCATCTATCTAAAATGTATAATTTGAAACAATTTTTAATACAGTGTTTTTACAGTTTGTTGTTGCATATTCGTGCCTTTAAATAATATTACAACAAATGCCTTACTTTACTTTTTATTTTATATAAGATATATAAAAACTATTATTGCATTTTTATATAATTTGACTAATAGTATAATGTTATACAAACAGTAATGCCTTTTATACATGAAACATACTATGAAAGGGATTTTCATAGATATATTATTAATTATTTTCATATATATTATATGACATTAGCTTTGTCGATATACGTCATATATAGATATATGTATATTTATATACATTCTTAACATTTAAGGACTCTGAAGTTTATGAAAATTATTTACATTTGATTTTAAATATTGGAGAA